CTGGGCTTGAACCCAGGGCCTTGTGCATGCTGCAAGTGCTGTATCATAAGCCAAGTCCCCAGCTCCCAGGTCCTTGTTTTAGAGACGCTCTCAGTCAAGTAAGAAAGCACATTAACAAATCACAGGACAATATAAAGGTGCTAAAGCAGAGAAAAGTGGTGTTTAGAGAGAAAGAAAGTAATTCAGCCTATGGGTCCTGAAAGCAGGAGAGAAAAGGAGTCTTGGGTTATCTAAGCACCTCTGACACTGAGGTGTCACTCTGCTGCCCTGCCCCAGACCTAYGAGCAGCGGAAGGTGGTGGAGTTCACATGCCAGACGGCCTTCTTCGTCAGCATCGTGATTGTGCAGTGGGCTGACCTCATCATCTGCAAGACCCGCCGCAACTCCGTCTTCCAGCAGGGCATGAAGTGAGCATCCACCAAATGCCCCAACAACCCCAAACTCACACAGAGACCGGCCATTTCCCCTGCCTTTTCCTCCTTGTCTCCAGATCAGTCATAAATGTTTCTTCCCAGAAACAAGGTTCTAATATTCGGGATCCTGGAGGAGACACTCCTGGCCGCTTTTCTGTCCTACACTCCAGGCATGGAYGTGGCCCTGCGAATGTACCCACTCAAGTGAGTAAAGAAAGGGATTCGAGCAGGGAATTGATTCTCCGGGCACAGGGAGAGCATGTGAGAGGAAGTGGGAGGAAGGGTGTGCTGGAACAGGACAGTCACCAACTAGCGGCTGCTGGATAAATGGGGCTACACTCAGTCACTTCGGGAGAGAGTCATCTGTTCTCTGATAAATAGATTTCACTTAGGGAGGTGTTAGGGACTGTGCCAAGTGATCACAAGCCACAAGAGGTGCAAATTTAGCAGACTTACCAGTGTTTAACCGAGTGGACTCTTTTATTCCAATGATGTGAGTGAGGCACAGTTGTGCAAAAATACATATTTCTTAGAGCTGAAATAATCATAAAAATAGCATAATCTAGGCTTAGCTAAATCCTGTTGTATTTTTTTAATTTATTTTTGAGTTGTAGCTGGATACATTGCCTTTATTTTATTTATTTATTTTTACRTGGTGCTGAGGATCAAACCCAGGGCCTCGCACATACTAGGCAAGCTCTCTACCGCTGAGCACAACCCCAGCCCCTCCTATTATATTAATACAAATATATTTTAATGTGCATAAAATTCTTACTATCTGGTACCTTTCCTTGGTAAACTGTAGGGGTTTTGTTGTTGTTGGCTGTACTGGGAATTGAACCCAGGGGTGCTCTGCCACTGAGCATCCCCAGCTTAATTTGTTGGGGTTTTTTTTGTTTGTTTTTTGGGGGTGGGGTGGGTGTCTCACTAAGTTAGTGAGGCTGACCTTGAACTTGCAATCTTCCTGTCTCAACCTCCCAAGTAGCTGGAATTATAGGCATGTGCCTCCACACCCGGCTCATTTGTTAGGTCTTAATAATTCATAGCTGGCATCGCTGGGGATGTAGGTCAGCGGTAGAACTTATGCCCAATATAAAGTCCTACATTTGATCCTCAACACTGCAAATAATTAAATCACTAAAAACATACCTGGCAGAGGGTTGAGAATTACACAGAGATATGGATATAAAGCATGAAGCATGCTTGGGTCATGGTAGATGCTTTTTTGTTGTTGTTGTAGATGGATACAATGCCTTTATTTATTTTTATGTGGTGCTGAGGATTGAACCCAGTGCCTCACATGTGCTAGGCATGGACTCTACCACTGAGCCCCAACCCCAGCCTCAGATGCTTTGTCAATAATAGCTTTATATTGGCTGTTATAGTGTCAATGTGGAAGTAATAACAACTGCAGGTGAATATTATCTGTGCTTCCACATACCCTGTATATACCTTGACTATAGTACTTAGCACCTAATATTGTGGTTCTTTATTTGTGAGCCTTTGCCCTCTTTTCTCTGATTCTCTTGATCTCCTTGAGGCCAAAGACCACTATGTAACCATCTTTATTTCTCCAATTCCTAACAGAGATGCAGAGTAGATACATGACTGTGATTCAATGAATGGGTGAACAAGTAACAAGTTTATACTTGTGTCCATGTGTGGAGAATGAGCCATGGCTTGGGCCTGCACTATCCAATATAGCTGTCACTATCCACAGGGGACGGACTACTGAGCTCTTGAAATATGGCTAATTCTGAAGAACTGAATTATAATTTTAATTTCAGTTCATTTAAAGTTGAAAACTAAAGCAACATTAAATATTTGTCTATTAAATATGACTTTATTATTCTAGTTGGACTAACTTCCCTTTAATTGTTGAAAATTCAGTATCTGAGTTGAGATGTCCTATAAGTGTAAGATACCTATAAATGGATCAAGAGTGCTCATTCTCTCATCAATAATGTTTATATTTATTATACATGTCAATACCATAATATTTTGGATATGTTGAGTTAAATAAAATTATTAAAATTAATTTCACCTGTTTCTTTTTACTTAATTTGGCTATTAAAATTTTTGAAATTTCACACACGGTAAACTATTACATTTCTATGGGATAGTGCCATTGGTTTTAACTACTCCTTTTCTTCTTTTCTTTTCTTTTTTGTGATGGAGATTGAACCCAGGGGGCAATTTATTATTGAGCTCTATCCCCAACTCTTTATTTTTTGTTTTAGACGGTACCTCCCTATACATTGCTTAGGGCTTCACTAACTTGCTGAAGCTGTCCTTGAACTTGCAGTCCTCCTGCCTCAACCTCCCTAATTGCTGCGATTACAGGMGTGCACCACCATGTCTGGCCCCTTTTTATCTTGAGACAGGGTCTCACTAAATTGCTGAGGCTGTAGGTCGTCTCTTTACTTTGTCACCCAAGAGAACAACTGTGGTCCTGATTCCACCCTTTCCCAGAGTGCATCTTCCTGGTCTCTCAATATGGAAGAGGGGTTTGGGGATCTAGCTCAGTTGGTAGAGTGCTTGTCTAGCATGCACAAGGCCCTGGGTTCAATCCCCAGCACCACCAAAAAAAAAAAAAAAAGGGAAGAGGCACAGGCAGAAAAAAAATCCCTGTTTTTGCAATATGAAATTATATATACATATATATGTATATATTCTTACAAATGTATATGGAATCCTATATGTGTATAGGGGTGTGTGTGTGTGTGTGTGTGTGTGTGTTGTGTGTGTGGGAGTGTGCTTGTTATTTTGTTTTCTTGGCAGAATATCTCCATACTGGGTGTCTGGGGATTGCCTCAGATAAACCCATCCTGCTCCAGCAACCTCCCCTTGGTTAAGTTCAAGATCTAGAGCATAAAGAAAGCAAAGGGAATCTCCCTCTGCAGTTCCRTGAAAGTCGACCGACAATCCCTGCGAACACTGGATATACCTCTGAATATGACATTTATCGTGTTATCATTGGCCCAGTCACTAACCCCCCAGACTCTGACCTCCTCCAAGGTGGGGATCAACTTTATCTTACTCACCGACGGTCTCCGGCACACTCTCAGCCACACGTGAGCACGGACATGGAACACGCGACTCCCACGTGTTGTCTCTGAGCGTGCTCTTTTCCGGCCTCTGTAACGTCAGCCACCTTAGCCAAATCTTGCTCTCYACAGGTTGGCCTGGTGGTTCTGCGCCCTCCCCTACAGCATTCTCATCTTCGCCTACGACGAAATCAGGAAACTCATCATCCGTCAACGGCCTGGCGGTGAGGCTCCCCAGCCCTGATCTACAGGAGGGGGCCACCATCCCCTAATAAGCTCTCCCATCAGGCCTGGCTTCTCAGGACTCGCTGGCATCCCCCMCTCCCAAGTCACTTTACTATGCCTGGACCCCAGCCCTCTTGTCCCCGACTCCACCTGTTCATGTTCCAGACCACAGGCCCCCAACCTTCCCCTTGGTTCCCCTTCTGCCAGGCTCCCCTGCTGCCTTGTYGCAGTTCACCCTGATCTCTCCTCCTCCGCAGGCTGGCTGGAGAGGGAGACATACTACTAAACTCAGAAGAAGACTTCACATGAGAGAGGCGTGTCTTGAAGCCCGAACTATGAGTGTGACACAATATCTGAGCGAGCATATGAGTTGGGGGCAGAAGATACTGGGACAAATGACCCTGGATGAGAGAGAGCGCAATCCTAGGCTGGACTGAGGGCATCGTGGGGTGGGTTAGGGGAATCCCAGCCTGCATCTGGCTGGAGCCCAGCAGGGAGGGACATAGTCCTATAGAATCCAGGAACCAGTCTAGAGAGTAAATGTTTAGAACAGCTCTCACCAAGCTGAATGTGTTCCATCTGATTTTGGGGGAGTGGGGATCCCTACATCTTCATGGTAACCAGGGAAGTATGGTCTGTAAGCAAACTAAGTTGAGGTTGGAAGGGGATCCCTAGGGGCTGGCTMRGTTGGTGGAGTACCTGCCTCACAGGCACAAGGCCCTGTGTTCAATCCCCAGCACCACAAAAAGAAAGAAAAAGAAAAAGAAAATGGCAGAATCAAGCATCCTTGCCCTTTGAGGGCTGTTAAGCACCCCGCTTTTGGAACCAGAGATTGAACCCTGGGACTTGAGCATTCTACGTAAGCCCTCTATCACTGCATCCCCAATCCATATCCCGCATCTTAACTCTCTGTCCCCTGGAGAGCAAGGGATTAGTAACTGCCCCCAAAAGTTTAGCTGTGATCAGAGACTGGAAGAGGGAGGGTGAGAGGTGATCAGCTGAGCTGCACTCTGTAGAGRGGGCCACAGCATGCACACATACCCCCAGGCCCACGGCTGGTGAGGCCACTCACTTAGTTTCTGCCTTGGATTTCCTCAGACTACCTGACAGACCATAGAATTGTAGCACTAGAAGAGTCTCAGCRGGGTGCAGTGACTTGCACCTGGAATCCCAGCAATTCAGGAGGCTGAGACAGGAAGGTMGCAYGTTCATGGCCAGCCTGGGCATCTTTGAGGTCCTGTCTCAAAATAGAAAAGGACTGTGGCTATAACTCAATGGTAGAGTGCCCCTGGGTTCACCCCCTAGTACTTACTGAGAGGAAAAAAAAAAAAAGAGAGAAAAGGGTTAGGTCCGCCCAGAAGTATACAGAGCAAGACAGAAATGCTAAGAAAAGCTGGGGGGAACCATCAGCTGTTACCAGAAACAAAACACATGTAATAAGTAACTGCATTCTAGGCCTGGCACTGGGACAAAGGCTACACACACACCATCAATTAATTCAAGCAAATGTAGTCCTACCACACCATTCCGTAGATGAGGAAACCAAGGTCTGTCTGACTCTAGAAGTTGTGCCTTTAACAACTATTCAGCCTAGTCTTATAGTAAGGGCTGAGCCGAAACAGAAAAAYAAAACATTAACAAAATAGGATGGTGAAGGAGGAGAGGCCGTGGGTGGATCTGGAGGATGGGGGACCAAGGGCTGCCAAAGAGAAGGCAATCCCAGGGGACAGGGGTAGCCCACCTCTCTTCCCCTCCACCAGCCCCTCCTCAGGCTCTCTCTTCCAATACAAGGACTCCTAGGGACAGGGCTGTGTCCGTCAGGGGTCCTTCCCTGGCTGCTGACATGGCTGAAGCAGACTCTGGAAGATGGGAGGACCAGGAGGTGTGTGTGTGAGCTGGGGAGGGGGAGTGCAGAGGGGCTGGCTCCTCGGGTTTCAGTAGCAGGAGCTTTGGGTGTCTGGTGGGTTAAAAATACAGAGGCCCCAACTCAGGGTCATTTGATACCAGCGGCTGAGGCGGCTGAGGCGTGATAAGTCCAAAGAGCCTGAAGGCAAGGGGCCTAGAGGGAAGGGGACTGAGGAGAAAATAGAGAGCCCAGCATCAGAGAGAGAGCCGGGGTGGCGGGTACAGGAGCCGGAGAGAGTAAGGGTAGAACTAGAGCCAAAAAGGGCAACCCCTAGGGAGCAGTGACTGCAGGAGAGGATGAGGAGAAGGAGCAGRCCAGGGTCACCTCATAGTCCTGTCTCACGCCCTTTTGGGGAGGAGAGGGGTGTGTGCAAAAGGTCCCATTGATCATGGAATAAGTCTAATGTCCCATTGTCTCTGTTCAAATGTTTCCCCCTCCCCAGAATGCTGCAGAAGAAAGAAATTGGGGCTGGTCATCATCTGGGTCATCTACTTCTGGGCAGGCCTGCCCATTGCTCCCCACCATCTTGGCTAGGGTTCTTGGCTCTAGCATGTCAGTTGCTCTCCTRGGAGAGCAGGAGGTGGAATTCTGAGATCTCTTCAGCTGTAATGTGCCATGCTTGAGCTAGATTTGGCCTCTCCTGCAACCGTGACAGCTGTTCCTATTGGACTCGGTCCTGCCAGGCTCTTGAGATTTTCTGTGGCCTTCCTCACTTAGCTATGTAAGGTCTGCCCCATGGCAGTGGGCAAAAATTATCCTGCTAATACAATTCCATGCCCTTGCCTGAAGGCAAAATAAACGTGGTACTTCCAAAAGGAGAGACACCTTGGGAGTGGGGTAGGGTCATCTGACTTTGATCTGGTCTCTGCATGGTCTCCCTCATGCCTCAGTTTACCTGTGCCTGATAACAGCCTTGGCGAGCTATGGAAATGATCCTTCTAGGGACCCAGAGCTGAAYTCATTTACTCTGTTTTCACTTCCAAGCTGGAATCCAGAATTGACAGCCCTTTCTCCCCAAGCTGCTTTAGGTCTCAGGTGCACAGAATCAACTGACAGGGCCCGCCTCTTCAGGTTTTCCTCCTGTTAATTTTTTTTTTCACCAGTGTTTATGCCTAATCCTGTCTGTGTCTTGCCAATGACATAGGAATAAACCGTAGCTATTAGCTGTCTTTAGAATCATTCAGCCTGGGGAATCCTCCCTTCCCACTGTGCCCTAGAAAAAGGTCCCCTAGGCTCAGGGCAGTGAGTGCACACGGGAGGTGGCAGCCAAATGACATTCCCCTCCTCGTGGTGGGCCATCTGGATAAAGAAACCCCAAATCTGCATCCTCCGGGATGGGATCTGGGCCAGCCCCGTCCTTCCCCTGCATTCCCCAGTCAGGAATGTTGAGTGAAGCATAGGAAACTGGCTGGAGCTAAGCCAGGTCGCCAGTCTTGGACTCCACTCCATCTTTTATTCAGAGAATGATCTCATCCTTGGTCCTGATTCTTTAAAGGGAACCGCAGGGGGTCTCTTGCCTGCATCCCAGGCTGTGTTTTATTGCCCCCTCCCCCACTCTCTCTCACAGGATCAAAGAAACAGACTTCACCCCTAGAAGATTCCCAGATTTTAGGGTGTGGAAGCAGTCCTCCACTTGTCCCTTTGGTCCTCTACTATCGGTTTAGCCTCTGCCCCAGAACACACCTCCCCTCCACCTGCACTTCCTTCTGTTACCCTCACCCTACCCTCGGTGATCCCTGGTTACCCCCCCTGCCCCCCTCCTCCAGTCTCAGCTTCACTTACCTCCGACTCATCTGGTCTTATTTTTAGATCAGTGTCTCTCCCTTCTCCTTTCTTAATATGGTGATGAGCTCTTAGGGCCTGCATGGGGACAGGGGCTGAGGAGCCCTGGACATGGGGGAGGGGGAGGGAAGGAGAGACTGGGAGCTTGGGGGAGAGGTGTAGGATGTGGGAGGATTCCGGCCTGCATGGAGTTGTCCTAGCCTGGGAAGGTTATCTGTCTCTCCTGCCAACCTCGGGGACATATTTAGACAGGACCAGGTGGGGACCGAGGGGTGCCAATTTCAGGGGGCAGCTCCGGTTCCCTCCCCGCCCCCTGCTCTTATTCCTCCTCCTGACCCTTTTTCTCTTGGCTCTTTGGGCAGTTTCTCCAGGACCCAGCAGTGTCCGCTGCTCTGGGCCACTCCCTACCCCACCCCCACGTGGAGCCCCTAACTCAGGATTTGGTACCTAGGGGGCCTTCCCTGTCCCCAGCTAACCACCTCTGGATCAGGAGAAGCGGCCCAGATCCTCTGCCTCYAGGAGTACTACAGACAGGATGGGGGCCAGGATGGTGCCAGGTCTGAGACAGGCACTGCTGTTACTGTTGKTGCTGGGGACACCCAAGTCAGGGGTCCAAGGGGAGGAAGGGCTGGACTTTCCTGAGTACGATGGTGTGGACCGTGTGATCAATGTCAACGCAAAGAACTACAAGAACGTGTTCAAGAAGTACGAGGTGCTGGCGCTCCTTTACCACGAACCCCCTGAGGATGACAAGGCCTCACAAAGACAATTTGAGATGGAGGAGCTGATCCTAGAGGTGAGTGGGAGACTGCAGGCCTGTGGCGCATGCCYAGCCCCTCTCTGCAAGTCCTATGGCACAACCCCAGGGAGATCTTTTGAGGGGTGGGATCTGGGGGGGTGGGGGCAGTGTAGGAGGACCTTTTGTCTTGACCAACAGGATACAAMGGGCCTGTGGCCTTAGCCAAATGAGAAACAGACTCAGCAACCCAAAAGTACTACCACAGTTAGATAACTGCAGAAGAGACGCTGCGGGGTGATTGCCCCCCAAGTTGTAGGAGGCTGGTGAATCTAGGTTTGGCTCAGAAGGAGGGTGAAAAGGGGAAAGGGAGGTACTTGGGGGCAAGGGAAGGACTAGGACCAGTACTATGTATTGCAGCCCCAGCACACCAATATACTCTCCTAACCAGAACATGCTCACTCTCCATACATTTAGGGGCTGCACTCCAATGGGATCCAAACTGAGCATAAATTTAAATGCTATTGGGGCTGGGGTTGTGGCTCAGCAGCAGAGCGCTCACCTCACATGTGTAAGACCCTGGGTTCAATCCTCAGCACCACATAGAAATAAATGAGTGAAGTAAAGGCATTGTGTCCAACTAAAAATAAATATATATATATATATATATTTTTTTTTAAATTAAATGCTACTGATATCATATTCACCTGTCACTTAAAGTGAAATGTTTCAGTGTCTCCTAAAGACCACCATGCCTCCCATTGGTCTCCCTGAGCCCTCTTTCTTCCTCCCTGACCCCTAGTTCCCTATCTGGCTCTATTAGATCAAGCTGGATATCTTCAATGGAAAATTCTATGGTTGAAGGAGGCTTCAGAATATCTTCTCTTTGTAGAATGAGATTCCTCACCCCCCAATCTGACTTCAGATCCAAAGCAGAGATGACTACTCTAAAATGAAAATGGAAAATAACTAGAAGAAACCCTAGAATTGGAGATGTGGTGGCACATACCCCTCTAGGAGCTGGAATGTATTTGAGTTTCCTTGTCCAAGTTTCCTCAGCCCCTTCTCTGGTCTGGCAGTGCAGATGGGCCCCGGGTTGACCAGAGCATGAAGCATTTCAGGGTGAGACGCTGAGACCACAGGCTCTCATTTCTGTTTGCCTCTGCTGAATGTCAGAGCACCCCCCACCCTCTGATTAATGAGGCAAGTATTTTTATCCTAAGCGCTCAGTATCCCTGGCCATCCACCTGCCATCTGCCTCCTTTCCCGGTCCCCCTAAAAATCACAGTGGTGCCTGAATGTTGGGTGGGGTAAAGCTGCATTCTGTGCCCACAGAAGAGTGAATCAGGAATGAGTGTTGAGCTGGGAGGCTTACGGGGCCAGGGACTGTCCACAGTCTAAGGACTGGCCAAAGTTCAGTGTGAAAGAAACTGTCTAGTCTCTGCCAGTCTCTCGTCAATTGGTGACCTCTACTCTCAACTCCCTGGCCTTCCCCACTCTTCAGCAACATGAACAGACCCTCCACACCCACCAGCAAAAATTCTTGTGTTGGTAGTTACTTGGAAAGATCTGGGGATTCTAACATGATCCCCATGCTGAGCTTGACCTTTGACTGAAACAGAGTACAGGAGAAAAGGGTCCCTCAGTCACTTGAAAGCCAGATTCCCCAGCATTCCTCAGGAACTGTAAAATTGTCAAGCTTAGTGCTTTCAAGTTCAACATAGCAAGCATGCTACAATTGAGCAATAAATACTCATAAACTTAAAGTTGAACTAAATGCAGAAATGGTGAAGTTGCAGGGAATTTGGGGATACTCTGGATCTTAGCATAAGGCCAAGGTCAACTCTTAGACTTCCTGTACCCATGGGGTGGGGAGAAGAGGTAATAAGAATTCCAGGAGCTAGGTGTAGTGGCTCAGGCCTTTAATCCCAGCAGCTCAGGAGGCTGAGGCAGGAGGATCGAAAGTTCAAAGCCGGCCTCAGCAACTTAATGAGACTCTAAGCTGGAGATGTGGTTCAGTGGTTAACCCTTGGGTTGAATCCCCAGGACTGCAGGGGGAAAAAATTCCATGGACTAATTTTAACTCTAACCCCTCCCTCTAGTTAGCAGCCCAAGTCCTAGAAGACAAGGGTGTTGGCTTCGGGCTGGTGGACTCTGAGAAGGACGCAGCCGTGGCCAAGAAACTAGGTAAAGGAAGGGAGGGAGGAGCAAGAAGGGGAAGCAGCCTGTGGGATGGGGAGGCCTATGTTGGAGGACTTGGGGACAGCCCTGGGATCTGAGGGGCTGGAGAACTCTTCTACTTGTGTTGGTGAGTCCCAGCCTGTTCTTACAGTCTGTACTCAGATCCCAGCAGGAGGTGGGGTGGCTTTCTATTTCCCTAGACACAGGGCCAGGTTCTGGAGAGAAAGGGGAAGCCAGGAATCCAGGCAAGGCTGGGGAAACCATGCAATCTCCTCTTCCAACCCCTCCTGCTCCAGAACCTTAGCTGGGTGTTATAGTGCCCAGCCACCAGGGGGCAGCACGCGTTCGAGACCAGACTCCGGATGTGGGTGGGGGAGGGGTGGTTAGTAATAATGAAGTCATCTGGTCAGTAATAGCAATGTTAAAGGGCAGGACACAGAATTAGCCACCGCAGTTCTCAGAGGAGATAGCAGGACTGCACCACAATGTTGCTAGAATCTATATCTCCCTGTTGCCTCCCCTTACACCCTAGCTGATCCCCTCATCTTCTCCCTGGAGATCCCTGGGGCCAGGCTAGCCTCCTGGCTCAAGCCAGGATTGTGGACACCAGGGGTGTAGCAGTCAGGGGCAGTGGAAGTGGGTGGGACAGAGAAAGGGAGAGGTGGAAGATGCGGGGTCCAATGGGATGGTGGAGTGGGCTGTGACCGGGTTCTGGACTCAGGAATCCGTGGGAAGACCGGGGTCATGGCTCACCTTCCATCCACTCCCTAGGACTCGTGGAGGAGGACAGCGTTTATGTGTTCAAGGGAGACGAAGTCATTGAGTATGATGGCGAGTTTTCAGCTGACACCCTGGTGGAGTTTCTGCTTGATGTGAGGACTCCCCTGGACTGGATCACCTTGCTTGAAGACTCCACTGCCCCATGATCCTTGATGATCCTTGCTAACCCCAACTTTACCCCCCACACCCCACTCATACCACATAACACACATGACGTATGTATACCACGTACACCAAACACAACACACCACACGACATACAGCACATGCCACACAACACAAACACATGAACATCACCTGATACATATCACACACACATCATGCAACACATATCATTCATACCACATACACCAAACACACATCACATGTCATCCACCAGACATAACCCATGTGTATCACATCACATATGTACACCACACACATCGCACATCACATATGTATACCACACACACCAGTCACAACACAACACACAACATATAGCACACATAACACAGAACACAATACACACAATGCAACACACACAACACATATGGCACACTATGCACATACCACACAACACAATTTCATGCATAACACACACCAAACACACATCACACATGTCACATACCAGACATAATACACATCACACATGTATACCACACACTCCATAGGACACACAACACACATCACATATACACACCAGACACACAACACACAGACCATACAACACAGCACAAGACAGACAAGGTCATACACCAAACACGCAACACAACACGCACAACATACCACACATGCATCTAACATGACACACACCACACACAGATACACCACAAACACACCACACAACATATACCCATCATATATGTAAATCACACAAAAAACACACAAATCACATCACGCAGTGCACAACACAACATACAGCATGTAACACCCAAGTTCACACACTGCACACCCATGTATACCCTGTCAACTTCCCATCCCTCCTTCACGTCCCCGCCTTCTCCCTCCATCCCTCTCTGGTCACTGAGGACAGAAACACTGTCCTTCTATGTCCCTGCTCTTCCAGGTCCTGGAGGACCCTGTGGAGTTGATCGAGGGTGAACGAGAGCTGCAGGCATTTGAAAATATCGAGGACGAGATCAAACTCATTGGCTACTTCAAGAACAAAGACTCAGAGCGTGGGTATCCCTCACACTCCTACTCCCCTCCCTGGCCCCRTCTCACCTGTCGACCTGCCTCCCACTTCCTCCGTCTTCCCAGCATCTTGGCCTCCTAATTCCCTGCCCTCATCTTCCTCCTGCATGGTGGGCTCCAACATCTGCCCTCACCTCCCTGGCAGGGATTCAGACAGGCCCCTGCAGCCCCCTGACCAAGCCCTCTGTGCTCTACCCCCTCTCCAAGGACTAGAGGGGGTGGGTCTCGGAGTGAACCCTCCTACCAGAGAAGAACKGGGGAGAGGCCCTGGCGGCCTCTGATTCCAGACTGACTCTACCTTCCCCCCTCAGATTACAAAGCCTTCGAGGACGCGGCCGAAGAGTTTCATCCCTACATCCCCTTCTTTGCCACCTTCGACAGCAAGGTTCTCCTCCTCGCGGCCACATTGGGTCTCCCTACACCCTTACGCTGCCCCCCAGCCTCCTCTCCCAGTCCTGAGGGGACCTGGTCCCCTCCTACATGCTGGCACACCCCACCCCAAACCCAGCCCCTCTTTTCCCTAGAGACTTTAGAGCTGAAGGGAAGAGGGCTTTAGATGGTCTAACCCACCCTTCTCCTGTCAAACTGAAGACCAGAGAAGTTAAGACTCTTGTCCAGTGTCACAGTGGCAGTGACAAAGTCCCAGGTTCTCTAACTAATGTTTGTCCCCCCATAAGACTGCTTCTCACTGTGACCCCGCATCACCTGCTCTATTCCCCTTGCATCTGCTCCTGAAAGGTGGCAAAAAAATTGACCCTGAAGCTGAATGAGATCGATTTCTATGAGGCCTTCATGGAAGAGCCTGTGACCATCCCAGACAAACCCAATAGCGAAGAGGAGATTGTCAACTTTGTGGAGGAGCACAGGAGGTGAGGACCGGTGCTCCCTCTAAGCAGGGTAGGGTAGACTGAGGCTAGAGCCCCAGTCTATGAGACGGGCTGGGGGACCTCCTGGCAAGCTGGTCTCCCCTGGATGAACACACTTCTGAGCACTGGTTGCTCACTGATAGATACACTGGTAATTTTGCACTGTGTGTGTTTGTGTGTGTGTGGGGGTGCATTGGGGATTGAGCCCAGAGGCCCTCCTTACTGAGCTATATTCCCTGACCCTTTTTATCGAGACAGGGTCTCACTGTGTTGCCCAGCCTGGCCTCAAATTTGTGATCCTTCTGCCTCAGCCTCCCAAATTGCTGGGATTGTAGGAGTGCACCACCACACCCAGCTCCTACAATATTTTGCAACCCCACGGTTGCACCCTACACAGATAAGGGCCTCTGTAAATGTGTACAGTTCATTGTGATGTAATTCATTGATTGTGATTTAAAGAATCTCTGTCAATAAGTGAATGCTGAGTGCCTGTGTGTGGTCAGGCTTGAAAATGCAAGGTATCTTCTGTCGCTATTGTTATATTTAAGTCCTTTTTCAACCTCAGTGACAGGGAGTATGTGTCAAAACTGGGATTTTTACCCTGATCTGTACCATGTCCTCTTGTGTGTGTGGGGTGTGCGTGGCAGGGTGGGGGGGGGATGTTACTGAGGGATGGAACCCCCAGGGGCACTTTACCATTGAGCTACTACCCAGTCCTTTTTATGTTTTTATTTTGAGACAGGGTCTTACTAAGTTGCTTAGGCCCTCACTAACTTTCTGAGGCTGGTCTCAAACTTGGAATTTTCCTGCCTCAGCCTCCTGGGGTGCTGTGATTACAGGCACATGCCACCACAGCTAGCTGTCCCAAGTCTTTGCTCATTTAATTCTTCAGGGAGATGAAGGATGTGGGAGGTGGGGGAAGGGTTTAGCCCTCCAGGGGATATTTGGCAATCTCTGCAGTTAGATTTGGTGCTGGGTGTGTTACTGGTATTTCCTGGTTAGAAACCAGGGATACTGTTTAACATCTTATATAGTGTAAAAGGCAGCCACCAACAACAGAAAATGACCCAGGACCTGCCTGGTACAATGGCACACACCTCTAATCCCAGTAACTCAGGAGGCTGAGGCAGAAGGATCACAAGTAGCAGGCCAGCTTGGGCAACTTAGCAAGACCCTGTCTCAAAATAAAAACTAAAAAGGGCTGAGGATGTGGCTCAGTGGTCGTGMGCCCTTGGGTTCAATCTCCAGGAATGAAAGAGAGGGAGAAGGAGAGAGAGAGAGAGAAAAGAAAACAAAAATCACCAGGCCCTAAAACCTAAGTCAGAAGGACTGAGGTTGGGAAATGCTGCCCTATACTCACACGTAATTCTCTTCCGTCACAGTACTCCACGACTGAAAATACCCACTCATCAGTGTAAATACTACTTACTCTTTCCCACTGGAGACGGCCCCCTTCATCAGAGCAGGGACACGTCTGCCTGGGTCGACTCTACCAAGCACCTAGCTCAGGGCTTAGAACATAACACACCCTCAATTTGACTGAATGAGTAAATGAGCGAATAAATGAATGAATGGATTCCCTGATACTCAGTTCTTACCTTTCTCCAAAGGTCTCTCTTCAGTCCCCTTGACACCCCTTCCCCCACTGCTTTAACCCCGCAGTGATCTGGGCCTATTGCCCAGGGCTTAGGCTGTGCCAGATGGCTTTGTTCTGGACTTCATGCTGTCTGTGCCCTGGGCCTGACCCACAGGCAGCCTCTGCTATAGGGGGACCCTCCGGGTCCTTCTCACCCACTGAGTAGCACCTCTCTTTCGGTCTCTTCTAGATCAACCCTTCGGAAACTGAAGCCTGAGAGTATGTACGAGACCTGGGTGAGTGTCCCTGGCTAGGACCAGGTTCTGGGAGGAGGGGGCAGGGATAGCTGAAGATGCAAGTCCTAGGGACAGTGTGCCAGCAAGGGGTGGTGGTGGCTGGGTTTTGAAGACTGTGGCAGGAATCAGGAGACATACATTAAGTAGATAAAGATGACAAGGGCAGAGACCTAAGGGGTTACAAGAGGAGGAGGTGTCGGGGTTCTGGAACCAAAATGGACAGTGTCACTTGGAAAAGAGTCACTATTACAAGAATGTGTGGGTCCAGTGCCTGTAATCCCAGTGACTTGGGAGGCTAAGGCAGGAGGATTGCAAGTTTGAGGCCAGCCTGAGTGACTTTGGGAGCCTGTCTCAAAATAAATAGAAAGGGCTGGGGATGTGGCTCAGCTAGCGTTGGGTCCATGCGATCCAGGCTCAAGGAACATCTGGGGTCTGTCTAGGCTCTCCAACCTTACAGAGTACAGTAAGATCTCCTCTCTGTACCTCCGCCCCCCTGCTCTCCCTCTCTGTCCCCAACAGGAGGATGACCTGGATGGAATCCACATTGTGGCCTTTGCAGAGGAAGCTGATCCTGGTGAGGGAGAAACACTGGGATTGACCTGGGGGCAGGCTGGGGGTGGCAAGTTGCTTCTGGGAGCACAGGCCTCATGTGGGAGGCATTCCAGAGAGCTTGCAAGCAGCCTGGGGCTAGACATGTGGAGTTGTGGTAGGTGGGGAAACAGATCTGGATTCCTGTTTCCTGTATCTCTTTTCTCTCTGTCCTATCTCACTCTTTCCTTTCTGTTCCTTTCAAGATGGCTTCGAGTTCTTAGAGACTCTCAAGTCTGTGGCCCAAGATAATACTGACAACCCTGATCTTAGCATCATCTGGATTGACCCTGATGACTTCCCTCTGGTAAAGGGCCCTGCTCAGCCACTGCTACCCTAACATGGGACCTTGCATTGTGGCACATTCTGAGTGGGGGCTTTGTTTCAGAAACCCCATTACCGTCTCCCAGCTGGGGGGCTTGGGAGGTTGCCCCTGTTGTATTGTATGTTCAAGGGTGATGTGGGCAAGGGAAGAGGAGGACCCAAAGTAATGTCAGGGGACATAACACAATTCCCAGAGCAGAGGCTACACAGGTAGCTCTCATGAGGAGACTGACTCCCAGAAAAGCAGAGTTCTCACAAGCAGCTGGGCACCGTAACCCTGGACATGAGTGTACACGCTCAATCAGAGAATCATAGCAGAGATTCCACGACTCTCCGGGTGGTTTTATCCTCAGTAGAATCTCCAGCACCTAGCACTCACAGTTGGATAAATAACTGAATGAAGAAACAGAAATGTAGCAACATCCGTGATTGCCAAGTATTACTACTTTAAACTGGGCATGGCGGCGCATGCCTGGAATCCCAGCAACTCTGGAGGCCAAGGCAGGAGGATCCCAACTTCTAGGCCAGTCTCAGCAAGACTTTGTCTCAAAATATAAAAAGGACTGGGGATGTGGGGCTCAGTGGTAGAGGGCCCCTGGGTTCAATCCCCAGTATTGAAAAAACAAAATAAAACAAACAGCAGCTACAACAAAACTACCTTAGTGTAGATATGCAGGAACTGAGAGCTAGAGACAAGTGATTTGCCTGAAGTCAGAGGTCAATCAGAGCAGATCCAGGATCAGAACAGGGGTTTCCAATCAACTTTTCATCGCAAAGGAGGGGCTGGAGTGTCCAGCCGACCCTCCTGATACTTTCCCTTTGGAATTTCCACTTTCTCTGCTTAGCTCTACCCACTGCTTTCAGGCCCTATTGCTGGACCYGTCCCCGTCCACTGACAGTTAATTCGATCCCCTCTCCTTATCCCTGGGCTGACCCTCACACTCACCCTCCTGGAGTCCTGGATCCCACTAAGCTTCCCTATTTGGATCTCTCCACAGCTGGTGCCGTACTGGGAGAAGACATTTGACATCGACTTGTCAGCCCCACAAATCGGAGTCGTCAATGTCACTGATGTGAGTTTCCTTTCCTCATCCCTGGTTGACCCCCAGCTCTTCTCCTCTCCTCTCCTCTCCTCTGCTAGCTAGAAATTGAGCCCTTCCCAGAAGAAGCAGACCTGCCCAGTCGGATGGCTAGATGGAGGGGGAGATTGAGGATCAGAACCTGCCTCTGTCCTCACCATTGGAATCAGTTGCTCATCCCTCAAAGCCCAGTTCACATGCTTTCTTCTCCATGATGAGGTCTTTCATTTGGAATCATTCCCTGCATGGCACTGTTGGAGCTTACCTAGATTGAGAAAATGATTTTTTTTTTTTTTAATACTGGGGATTGAAACCCAGGGGTGCTTTACCACTGAGCTTCATCCTTAGCCTCGCCCCCCSACCCGCCTTTTTAAAATTTTTTTGGTACTGGGAATTGAACCCAGGGGTGCTTTAATATTAAGCTATATCTTCAGCCCTTCTTATTTTGAGACAGGGTCTCACTAAGTTGTTGAGGCTGGCCTCAAACTTGTGATCTTGCCTCAGCTTCCAGAGTCACTAGGATTACAAGTGTGTACCACAGGGCCCAGTGAAAAACAAGACTTTTAAATGGCTATGTATGTATCCTGCCTGTCTCTTTCAGTAGACTTTAAATTCTGTGGGCAGAAATATTCTCATGCACATGTACTAGGTACTTCAAAATTTATTGAGTTGAACTGAGTAAACCATAATCTTTGCTTTCACAGAATTAATCTATCCGGGTAGGCAAGCATTCTGTTAGTAATGAGGTTGAATGTAATGAACTTCATAATAAAGATAGAACTAAAATGTTAGGAAGGCAAAGAGAAAGTAAAGGGATTTCTGCTTGAGAATCAGAGAGCAGTTTGAGTGAGAGTAGCATTAAAATGGAGGTTGTAGGACTGGGGGTGTAGCTCAGTTGGTACAGTGCTTGACTCGCAGGCACAAGACCCTGGGYTCCATCCCCAGCACCACAAAACAAAACAAAACAAGTGGAGATTGTAAAATGGGTGCAGTGGCACATGCCTGTAATCCCAGCGGCCGGGAGGCTGAGGCAGGAGGAGCACGAGTTCAAAGCCGGCCTCAGCAAAAGCGAGGTGCTAAGCAACTCAGTGAGACCCTGTCTCTAAAAAAAATACAAAATAGGGCTGGGGATGTGTCAGTGGTCGAGTGCCCCTGAGTTTAATCCCCAGTACCAAAAAAAAAAAAAAAAAAAAAGGGGGGGGGGATTGCATGATGTAAAGGATTTCAATAAGTGATGGTGAAGGGAAGTCATCTGTAAAATGAGGAAAGAGTAAGCTCAAAAGGTCAAAGGTAGAACAATGAACACCAGGTTTGGGAATAGGCAAGACTTTATTATGATTTTAGCATTTAGTGATCACTGAAGATGGTATTGAGAAAGCAGGAAAAACCTTGAATATCTCAGCAGAGTGGCAGGTGCCTGTAATCCCAGTGACTTAAGGCTGAGGCAGGAGGATCACAAGTTCAAGTCCAGCCTGGGCAATTTAGTAAGTCAAAAAAAAAAAAAAAAAAAAAAAAAAAAGACAAGAAAAGAAAGAAAGAAAAGAAAAACGGTTGGAGACTAGCTCAGTAGTCAAGTGCCCCTGAGTTCAATTCCTATTACTGGAGAAAACAAACAAACTTGAATGCTGAAGAGTTGCTAGTTGATTTCATTGGCCATGAAACGCCGCAGTGGTTTTGAGGCAAGGACAGGATAGAGAGGTCTGGTTTTGGAGGCTCAGTATAACAAGAACGTGGGAGGTGGACTGCAGGCAGTTCTTCTGCCAATCCAGCTTGTTTTCCCACTCCCACTCGTGGCTCTTCTAACCTACACGTTCACCTGGACAGTTCCCCTGGCCACTGAAAGATGAAAGGAAGGGACAGAGGCTGTAAGAAGGATGTTCAGTGTCTGGTGAGTGGGAGGACAAGTTCAAAGACCTGGGCCCAGCTTAGCTTCCATCCCCCACCTGTGCCGTGTCCTAGGCGGATAGCATATGGATGGAGATGGACGATGAGGAGGACCTGCCTTCCGCTGAGGAGCTGGAAGACTGGCTAGAGGACGTGCTGGAGGGTGAGATCAACACAGAGGATGACGATGACGACGATGATGATGATGACGACGACGATGATGATGACTAGTTGCTGTGGCAACCATCTCCCAGCCCCACCTTGCTCTTCATGTACCCTCCTGTCTTCCCTGTCCTTCCCCGAGTTCCTCCAGGGACACTAACTAGGTCATCCTACCATAGGGTTAGCTGGGCTCTATATATTGGGTGCTAAGCTCTATCCCCCTCAACCAATGAGGAAAGCAGCTCTCGAACACCAGCCCACCTCTCTCATCTGACTTGTTTCTTATCCTACAACGCACCTGAATTTTATTGTTTCTTCCAATACTCTCCATTTTCTTGCTTGGGGTTCTCCCCTTGCCTTATCTCTCCCGTTCCTCCCATCTATGCACAATCTTCCCCAACCCTCTCCCTTATCCTGTATCCTTCTGACTGTCCTGTCCCTGGCCAGGAGGAAGGGAGGGTACTCTGTTTGGGGCTGTATCTCAGCCGTTTCCTGTTAATGTATTCAGGTCAAATACAAGGACTTAATAAAAGAGATCTGGGGCAGCACAAGCAAGTGTTGAAGTCTCACCCCTGCGGCAGGATGGGAGATTGAGGTGTGGGTGCCTTGGGAGGAATGATGGGAGGGGTTGGGGCTCCCTCCAGGCAGTTATCCCAGAGAAACTTGGATTATTTATCAGCTTCAAGTCAACAAGCCTTTTCTGAACACATGGTGTTTGTCCAGGGCTGTTGTTGGGCTCTGGGAGAACAGAGAGTGCCAGGCCTGTCCCTACTCTAGAGCTGATTAGCCTCCCCAAGAAGTAAGACAAGCACACTAAACAACTGGAAAAAAAAACACAAAGCAATATGTAATTAAGCAATTATGTGCTGCTTGATAGCGCCCTCCCTGCAGCTCTTATTTGAACATCAAGACCGAACCCTGATTATTCTTCCTCAATAAGGCCTTCCTAAGCTTGCCCCCCGCCTCCCCGCCTGCAGTCCCCTATCTGCACTTTTCCTGTGGCACCTTTTTTTTTTTTTTTTTGGCTATACTAGGGATTGTATCCTAGCTTAATCCCCAGCCCTTTCTATTTTTTTGAGACAGGATCTTTCTAAATTGCTGAGGCTGACCTTGAAATTGCAATCCTCCTGCTTCAGCCTCCCAAACTGCTGAGATTACAGGCCTGTGTCAATGAGCCTGGCTCACAAAGCACTTCCTATATATCTCCATTCTAGTAATCAACACGTGGTATTATAGTTCTTCACTACAGTTCCGTATTCCCCACTAAACTATGAGYGCTATGAGGACAAACCCAGGCTTTTTCTTTATTTCCACAAGGCCTGTACAGAAAAAGTTTTCCGTAACATTTGTTAAAAGAAGAAAAATTAGCCAGGTGTGGTAGTGCATGTTGTAATCCCAGCGGCTGGGGAGGCTGAGGCAGGAGGATCACAAGTTCAAAGCCAGCCTCAGCAAAAGTGAGGTGCTAAGCAATTCAGTGAGATCCTGTTTCCAAATAAAATACAAAATAGGGCTGGGATGTGACTCARTGGCCCCTGAGTTCAGTACCTGATACTACCCCTCCCCCGCCAAAAAAAGAAGAAACATTAAGAGAAAGACTCAGGACTTGATGACTTCCTAAAGGAAGCAAGCCTTTTCTAAGCATTAAATTGAAGAATGGGACTTGGTTGGAAGCAAGGGAGTTGGAAAGTGGACATTTAAGTCAGTGGATACATCACAAACATTGGCAGGCCAATGTTTTGGCAGGCCACTATAATTCCTACAACTTGGGAGGCTGAAGCTGGAGGATCACAAGCTTGAGGCTTGTGATCAGCAATTTAGCAAGTTCCTGTCTCAACAATAAAAAGGACTGGGGGATATAGCTTAGTAGTTAAGTGCCCCTGGGTTCAGCTCCCAGTACAAAAACAAAACAAACAAACAAAAAACACTAGCAGGAAGTATTTGTAATATGGGAGCATGGAGATCACAGAGATAAGAGGAGAAATTCAAGACCTTGAAGCTGGTAAGATTAAGGGCTGATTGCAGAGATGTTTTAACTTAATCCTGTGAGATGGGGAGGAAGGGCAAAAATTCACCTGGTAGAAATGGAGAGGGGGATAGACATGGGGAGGCAGGGATGACGAGGATTCRAGAGGCAAGGAGCCCAACTCATAGTCAGAGGCTGTTATTATCAGAAGAAAGTTGAGAGAACCCAGAACCCATAGTGGTCATGGGAATGGAGAAGAGACATTGACTTTTGTACAATGGGGATACCCTAGACCTGGGCCTTTCAGGAGTTCTTTGCAGGAAGGACCCACAGACTCTCCAGGATAGGTCCAGGCTGGATGGGCACAAAGCAGTTGGGAGCAGGGAGGACCAAACTGCTGAACTATCCATATATAACAAATTATAGTTTACATGGAGCAAGTRTAAAGTTATTGCTGGTATACCGAGGATTGCTAAGTATGGAAAACTGGGACTTGGGGTTAATTTTCCAGTTTTCACTCTCCACAGACGAATCTAGGAAGTGTTCCTAGAGAAGCAGCAGAGTTTAGAGAATAGAAACCATTTATCCATCCAATACCCATTTAACAAATATTTAATAAGCAGTACAGGCACTAGTTTTGTATTAGAAAAATGTTATTAAGCTTACTGTTTAGCATACATCAGTGGAAGACCCCAGACTAAATAATAGTTCCTATTTCTTTAAGCACCCATCTTAAATAGCCAGTCTTTAGAGACTTGCATTTCTGAATCTCAGAGGGACCCTATAAATCAGTCACTGGCATCCCCTTCTTACTGGTGAGGATACTGAGGCTTAGGGGCATACTTTGTCTTAGGAAAGAGTTGAGCAAGCTTGAAACCCAAGTCCCTGTGCCTTGTTGCCTGTCTTATTTCACTCAGATACTGCATGTCTGTGGGTAAATCATGCAGTTTCCTTGAATCTCAAAGATGGATTAAGAAAATAGGTTTTGGCCCTGCAACAAGGAGCAAATGAGATACATATACAAAGGCAAATTATGAGGATGGGTTACTCTCAAAGGGGGCAATGCTGAGGATAAAAGAGCAAAGAAAAAGTCTGTAAAGCCCAAAGTGGCAGGAACCTGAGCTGAGGAGCAATGTAGAACTAAGAAAGTAGGGGCTCATCTGAGGCTTCAGAAAGTGTAACAGATTCCCTCAAGTTGGAATTGAGGCAAGATAAGTGTTCCATGGGGTGGTACAAACAGAGTTCTCACCCCTCTTCCCAGGGCCAGACCCTGCCAGAGTTGAGGTGACCCTTCTGCTGGGGATGGGGAGAAATAGATGCTTCCCCAATTCTCCCTTCCCTCTTCTCAGTCTGGYTGAGAATCTGGGGGAGGAAAGTCCCTGAGGTGGAGGGGAAGTGAGAGCTACCATTCTGGGCCCCCAGCAGAGGGGCAGAGCTAGGAGACAGAGCTAAGTGTGGCTTCGGGAGCTGTCTATATTTGCATGGTGAGGTCACTGCTGCTCTTTTTCTCCCCCGAAAATAAAATTACATCATGGTAGGGGAGGAGGAAGAGTGGGGTGTATTTGAGAAAGGTGAAAGTGACACAAGAGGGCCGCCTGGCTTCACCCTAAAGAGACAATCCATGGTTTCAGGTCAAGTAAAGGAGGTCATGTTGCTTCTTGCCGGGGACCCTCTGCCTCCACTTCCAGGGTGAATAAGTGGGGTATTTGCTCCCAGTCCCCTGATCCATAAAGCTAGGAGAGCGGTTTTTCCAAATACCAAAGCAAATAGCTTAAGAGCAGGCATTGGTCAAATCCCTAAACCCTGATTTACTAAGTCCTCTCAGGGGTCCCAGTCGTGGTCACCCAGAAATCAGAAGAGGAGGAAGGTGTCCCATTGGGAAAGAATCAAATCTGGACATTGTTTCGCAGTTGAGGGGGGAGGGCGGCATCCCTCCGCCCAATTCTGTCCCTCTCCCTCGGAGCCTTCCAGAACCCCAGCCCCTCGGCCCCGCGTCCCCTCCCCCTGCGCTCCCCGCCCCCGTCCCTCCCCGGCTCTGACATCACCGGCCAGCCGGGTGGGGTGAGGCGGCGCTGGGCTCGGGCTCGGGCTCCGCGGGCGGAAGAGGCGGCGGCGGCGGCAGAAGCGGCGGCGGCGGCGGCGGCGGGAGCCGAGGAGGAGGCTCCGGACGCTGCTCGGGAACCGGGGACCTGGGAGTGCCCGCGCCCTGAGCTCTCAGCTCCGGAGGCGGTGAGAGGGGCAGAGGGGGCATGTCGCGGGAAGGGGACAGATCTGGGGTCTGGATTTGGAGGAAGGACACCCGGGATGCCGGGGGACAYACAGGGGAGCGCCGGGACCCCGACTGGCCCTTTCGGTGTCAGGCCCGGTGGGCTCGGTCTCTGCGTGCGTCCGGAGCGCCGCGCTCGGGCCGGGGGCGGCGTGGTTGCGGCCGCCCCTTCCACGCCGATCGGCAGTTTGGGAGTCCGGCCGGGGCCTGGGATTAGGATGCAGCCTGCTTCCCGCCCAGCCGGCTCGGCCGGCCGCTCCCGCCCTCCCCGCTCTGGCTCCCGACTCGCCTCCGCTGGCCCTCCGCTGGCCGTCTCCGGCTCAGCCTGCCACCATGTGCCCTCACCCCAGCCCACTTGCACCTGGGAGAGAGGTGGGGCCGGGCTTAAGGAGGAAGGAGCTGGGGATGTAGGGGAATGGTGTATCTAACTAAAGCCCTAATTAATTCCATATAATTGGTGTCAAAACTGACAGGGACACAAGCACACCTCTGAGAAACAACCAGCACTCACAGTGACACACACCCATGTGACTCTTACACATACTGGCTCGCACACACCAAATCACAACCTTCCCGGTGCTACACATCCAACCACCCACCACAACCCACTGCCTCCCAAGTGGAGTCTCCTGGACTATGGGGCTCCAAGACATCAGTTTAACAGGACAGCAGAGGAATGGACAGAAGGGGCCACTGTCCCCAAGACCATCCTGGTTTTCTGGGCAGCTTTAAAATCCTGGTCTCCTTTAGAACAAGGAGACAGGACATTGAAGACTAATGAGTCAGTGCTCTTAGCGGGTAATATGGGTTCTGGTGGCCTGTCTAGCTGGGTCCAGTTAGAACTTAGGGCACTGGGAGTGGCTAGTTTCTGGACATCAGAGTGGCCAAGGAATGGAGGAGGGAGTGGAAGAAAGGGAGAGGAAGAAAAAGAATGAGTATGAGTCAGCCAAGGATGGAGCGCAAGTCAGAGGGAGACAGAATGAGAGGAATGTGTGTGAGAAGGAGACAGACGTGGAGAAAGGGACAGAGCCAGAGAGGGTCAGAGATATAGTCAGGGAACCATGGGAAGGGAGAAAGTGAGAGAGAAATGGTCAGAGGATGCAAAAGAGTGCTGGAGAGTGGACTAAAGAGAAATTAGGAAGCATGAATTGGGCGTGGTGGCACACATCTGTAATCACAGCAACTGGGGAGGCTGAGGCAGGGAGACCACCAGTTGGAAGCCATCCTGGGCAACTTAGCAAGAGCCTGTCTCAAAAGAGAAAAAAAAAACAAAACAAAAAACTGGAGATGTAGCTCAGTGGAAGAGTGCCCTTGGGTTCTAGCCCCAGTATATTAAAAAAAAAAAAAAAAAAAGGCCAGAAGAAATTAGGGAGGATGAAAGCAGGGAATTAGGAAGCACAGGCTGAATTTGTGTATCTTGTTTCTTGGGTTGTGTGTGTGGCCCCCAGGCTGTCAGAGCGATTAGCGTTAATTGCTCTTCCCTTTGCGGTTAAACACTCCATTGGGGAAATTGCCAAGGATGCCCTAGGCTGCCAGCTTTTCTAGGTGCCTACTTCCTCCTCATTTCTGTGACACTTGTGCCCATCATGTGCACATATGTTGTCATGCATGAAGAGGGTTACAGAGTCATACAGTGGGTCACTGTCACATAGATCCTCACCTACAATGTCAAGAAGGACAGACCCTCCAGACAGTGGGCAGCCAACCACTGCATCTTCAGGCCTCTCCCCTCAAATATTGTATCAGGGAGTCTCACCTTTTCCTCATAGTTGTTCTGAGTATTCAGATGGGGACACTGAGTTACAGAACCCTGGAGCTCACCCCTTCCTAAATAGTTGCTGTGAGTATTCAATTGGGGGATACTGAGTCACTGGCCCTTGAAGTTCATGGCTACTATTAGATGGGATGGGTGAACAGGCAAAGCTAGAAGGGATGAATGTCCATTGAAAGGGAAGGAGGAAAAGACATCAAAAGACTAGGGAGAGAGGAAATAGAGATGKGAGAGAGACAGAAATAGGAGCAGACAGTGCCCCAATCAGATCTTGGGTCTGGTTCTTGTATTAGACTAAGGGCTGAAGGCTTTGTCTCTGTCCTCATACCCAGAGGTTTTGCTTCTTGGCCTGAACATTTTAGGGTCCAGGTGTCCTGCCTCCCCTTACTCCCTGAGTGACCCTGAAACCTCAGAATCCTCTTTTTCCTTTGGTACATGACTGAAGATGATCCTCCCACCCCTTCCCCCTACAGAAAACCGGATAGAAATTTGGGGAGGAAGCCAAGTATGATATTAAAGGAAATAAACTTAGGACTGCTTGAATTTGGTTTCCAGATATAATTTAAAATAGGACAGCTAGAACCACACTCTCTCCCTTCCCACCCGCTACCTCATCTCGATGACTTCCTCCAACTTCAGGTAACGAGACCTACAGACTTGATTGCCTAGGAGTCCCCTCCTTCCCATTATAGGTTCTTGCAGCTGTGCAGGATGACCCCTCCCCCCAGCCTGAGGCAGCTGCAGCAGATGTGGAAGAGGGAGGGCACTCCTAGCTCCTAATCCTTGGCTTCTCTTGAGATTCTTAAAAATTTACTGAGCTAGGCGAGCCAGGCTTGGTGGTCATGCCTGTAATCCCAGAGACTCCAGAGAATTGCAACTTAGAGAGGCCCTAAGCAATTTAGGATGAACCTGTCTCAAAAAAAAAAAAAAAAAAAAAAAAAGAACTGGGGTTGTTGATGTGGGGTTAAGTGCCGTAGGTTCAATCTCTGGTACTAAAAAAAAAAAAAAAAAAAAAAAAATTACTGGAACCAAATTCTAGGGAGAGGGGATACTCTACCATGAATTAATAGCAAAATGCATAGAAATTTTTTTGGTGCTGCCACTTCCTTCATAGGTGGTTGTCCCATTTTGCCAGGCTTCTCAAAGCAGACCCAGGGCCTGCCTCCTCCTCCCCCAGTGCCTACGGAAGGAGCACCACCTGCCACCATCCCAACTCCTGCCCTAAAAGGTCAGTATATAACAATGCTTACCTCCTGCCTCTTTCTGTTTCTCAGCATCATCTTTGTCAGTTGGTTCTACCTTTGTCAGGGCTCCACCTGGAGCTAGTTTAGGAGAGGGAGGAAGGAAGGAAGGTATGAGGAAGCGGTGAGCAGCACACAGAATGAGCTGGGAGGGAAGGGGACCGACTTCCTGGCAGCCTCAGCTCCGGTTCCCAGTTCCTGCGCTGGTATCCTGTCCTCAGAATGGCCTCCGCCCAGGCTGCCTGGTGTTCCCTGGGCAGCCCTCTACACTGCCCCAGAGATCAGAAGGATTTTTCAGAGCAAGGAGGACAGAAAACTTCTCCGTGGGCCCTAAGTAGTTCTAAATCTCTGATGAGGAAAGAGTCACGGAGGATGAAGGAGCCAGGCTCTGCCAAGTCCCACTACTGCCAGACCGGCCAGGGACAATAGTTGATCAGTGAGTCTTGAGACCCATATAAGGGAGATTCCATCTTCCTACCGCCCCCAAATACCTCCCCCCAATCTATTCTGCCCTTGCCTCTGCTGCCACACCTAGGCACGGGCAAATGGGATCTAGAAAGGCAGGTAACCATGGCCTTTCCTTACTCCCTTAGGGGGCCCTGTTYCTATCCTGTTGTCCCTTACTGCCCACTCTTCACTCCTTCCATCCAGTGGTATCATTGTCCTGATGATTCGGGGGGCAGGGGCAGAACCGAGGTTGCTGTGCTAACGGCTGAGCTGAGGCTGCAGCCTTATGGACTCTGAGCTCCATCCCCCCAGTTTCCCCTAGGATTCCTCATTCGCAGCCTCAGTCTCTCCCTTTCCCGGCTCCTGCTCTCTTCTGTTCTGTAGGCTCCCTTCACCCTCTGGATGGGAGCCTGTGGTTATGTACTTTCTTACACACACTCAGCTGGTTCAGACACATACAAACACACATCCCACACACACTCACAGCCAGTTACGAGAACATCCAAACACACCCACTGCCTCCTCCGCACACCTGTACACACACCCAGGGATCAGCATCCACACATAGATAGAATCTGGCACATACTCGTCACCCCCTTAGCCACTTTACATTCCCACCCCCATTCCTCTTAGGGGCCTTGTATCTGTTTCACTCTTCGAAAGCTCCTACCCACTGCCCCCAGCCTTGTGGGTGGGTGTGTCACACACACTAATCCCGTTTCACCCACCTCCTTATAGATCTGTGTTTTAGATTGAGCCGTAAATCTCAATTCTTCCAGATATTCTCTCTCTCTCTCTCACTCACACACACACACACATACACACACACACACTCATTCCTCCCACAGGATCTACCATATTTACAAACTCTTCTTCCATGTGAAACCAAGCCTGTTTTGACCCTAATGCTACCCCCTTTCCTAGCTGAAGCTGAGGGTTTGGTGACAGGGTCTCACCCACTGGGGCAGGTTCTTGTCTCTTTCTCATGCTGCGCTTTCCCAACCAGCATGCCCCATCCCCCAGTCCCTATCCTTATCTCTAGACCCCCTTCCCATCATAACCCTCCCATCTCCACCCTTTTCTGCCCTGGGATTATCAGTGGAGGCGGGGCTGGGCTCCAGAGCCTGCTGCTGTGACCTAGATTTCAAGGCTGGGATGGTTCCTGGTGCTGACAGTCAGAGAGCATTGTTCCTGGTCCAGCCTGGCAGGGCCACCGCTGGGCCCTTCTGTCTGGTTGCACCTGGGTGTGCAAGTGAGAGTGTCTATGAGTGACTGTTTCTTGTGGGGGTCGTGCTGGCCCTGCTGTCTGGCTCATTGTCTGTTTGTGTCACCGTGCCTGCCACCAAGGGAGGCTTGTTATTCTGGTCCAAGAAGGGGGCTGGGTATGGGGACTTCTAGGTCCACACCTCTTATTGTGTGATGGCCATGCCTCTCTACCTCAGTTCCCCTACAGTAGAGCCTAGAAGTAAGGAAAATAGGAGTGTATCAGTCAGCCTGAACCTTTTGAACTGCCAAATTCCCAGCCCAGTGTTGGGGTGCTTCATGGGCATCCTCAGTCAGGGACAAGGTCATCTAGCTTTTTGCTACCCTTTGTTCTAGCCACAGAGGGTTATGACATGCTTTCTTTTTCCTTGATACTGTGGATTGAACCCAGGGATGCTCTACCACTGAGCCACATTCCCAGTCCTTTTTGATACAGGCTTTCCCTAAGTTGCCCAGGCTAGCCTCAAACTTGCAATATTCCTGCCTCAGCCTCTTGAGTTGCTGGGATTATGGGTGTGTGCCACTGCACCAAGCTATGATTTCTTTCTTTTTTTTTTTGCTTTACCCTTCTGATTTTAAGAGATATACTCATTGTAGGAAATAAGTGCCTGTTTTGAGCTCACTACTAGTGTTTCACATTTTATCAAATCCAGCAAGTTCATTCTAAGGTTCATCCTTCTTTCTTCCTGTCTTAGCTACAGTTCCTATTTTAGGGGAGGGAGGCCTTGAATGTTCTTCACCTTCTTACCTAAGGATCATGAATGAAGGCCTAGATGATATGTGGCCTTGCCCAGCACCCTGTGGGAGGCCACGCTAAAGGCAGTGCCAGCAGGATGTTGATGCAGGAAGGGGTGGCAGCCCCCTTCCTGCCAGACTCTCCCGAAGCTGCATCTTGGTGCCCTTCCCCCTACCACCCAGCAAGCCTGGGAACTGGGCAGGGGGCCAGAGCCAGCCGCTTGGTATTCTTGGGCGCGGGGGCTGCAAGCACAGCACAAAGGCTGGGAGACAAGGCTGAGTGGGGGCCCCTGTAATGATGAAGGGAGAAAATGGGCAAAGTGGGGATAGCCCATTGCTTCCCCTTACCCCAGGCCCTGATGGCTTAATATGAGGCTATGCATGGAGGGGCCAGGGAACCATCAGACCAAGCAACTAGGCATCCTTCCAAAGTGAGTCATTAGTGGGGTGGTGGGCAGTTGAAGTGAGGACCCTTTTGCTTCTGGGGAAGAATGGAAGCTAACATTTCAACCAACCCCCGCCCCCCAGCTCTTYTACAGTTTCTTCTTCCACAGCAAGCCTCTCCCTGTTGTTGTTTTGAGGTTGTTTTTTTTTTTTCTTGACAGGGGGAGGGGTTGGAGGTGGGTGGGGCATTTCTGGGGGGGGACTCTGAAACAGCGGGTGAGAAAGTCGGGAGCAGGTTGCCATGGTAACCGCCTCCTCAGTCAGGGGAGCGGTTGCCAGGGTTACTGTTAGAGRGGGAAAAAGAAGAAAAAGACAGTGGAGGGGGGAAGTATGACTTATCACTCTAGGCTCCAGCACTGCTCCTATCTTAAGTGTTTTCCTGTCTGTCCCCAATGCTTCCCCTAGGTCTTCATTTTCTTCCTCTGGCTCTGCCCACCCGTGTTCTAGACACATGCCTGGCAGGGCAGTGAGGGGGTGTGGATAGTGCCAGTATGTGAATCAGACTCAGTACACCAAGTCCAGACTCCTTTCCCTTTGTTGCCTCCCCACCCCAGTCATGGCCGAATACGGGACCCTCCTCCAGGACCTGACTAACAACATCACCCTTGAAGATCTGGAACAGCTGAAGTCAGCCTGCAAGGAGGACATCCCCAGTGAGAAGAGCGAGGAGATCACCACAGGCAGTGCCTGGTTTAGCTTCCTGGAGAGCCACAACAAGCTGGACAAAGGTGCGGGACAGGGCTCGGTCCACTTGGCAGAGATGAGCACAGAGCTCCCACACATGCGTGTACCTCTCGACAAGGCAGGCGAGAGAACGGAAGGGGCAGGAGGCGTTGGACAGTTTTCATTGTGTCCCTTGGCAGTAAATACATTATTCAGATACTCCTGTGCTATTATTACATATATAGAGAACATCAAAGCAATTTAAAAGTGGCAGCATTTAAAATAAAACAAGTTCTAACTTTCTTTTACCTGCTTTTAGAGACTCCTGCTCTAGAGGGACTGGGGATTGTAATTGGAGTGATCCCATGCAGCTGGGGGCTTTCAGGAGGACTTGGGAGTTTAAGATGGCCTTGAAAAGAAAGTGGGAATCCAGAGGGCTTGGTAGGCAGAGGGACAGACACAGAGGTGGGGGTTTCTGGTGTGTATGGAAAAGCAGAGTCCTGCTTAGCTTGACTGGGACATTCTATATATTTAGAAGTAGCTGTGAAGGAATGAAGGTAAGTCAAAACTCTGTTGTGGAGGGCCTTGAGTGATAGACATTTGAGAGAAAGTGAGGTGAGTGACCTCAGAGCTCTTCRGAAATATTATTCGGACTGAATTAAATGTGGGAGCAGGGAGGGGAGCTCCTACTATGGTTAGGAGCCAGAGGTCTGAGGTCATCTGTAATATCTTGGAGTTGGCTGAAAACCAAGGTGATCATTCTTTTGGTTATGTCCACATCTTTCATTTAGAGTGACTTTTCTTACTAGGCCCAGAACTTCTCTTGGATCTCACCATTCCTACCCATGTGTGCTATTGGGAAATTCTTCCTGATGGTTGGATGAAAGTGGAAAAAGGTTAGGGAGGGTGGGATATTTGGAAGACAGTTTTTCATTGTCCTTTCCCTAACCCTGCCAGGGACTTGCTATCTAATCCAAAGCCCTCTCTTTTTTTAGTGGTGGTACTGGGTTTTGAATCCAAGGGCGCTCTACCACTGAGCTACATCCCCAGCCCTTTTTCTTTCTTGTGTTGAGATAGGATCTAAGTTGCCCAGAGTGGTCTCAAATTTACCATCTCATCTGCCTCAGCTTCCTGCGTTACTGGGATCACATGTGCCACCATGCCTGGCTCAAAGCCCTCATTCTAATTCTACAACCTAGAAACTTCACTGACTACTCCCTGCCCTTCCCGGAAACAGTCTTGTACCATTGTGTGGGTGCTTTAGCTTTCTTTTCCTGGCTTAGTAGCCCAGCCCGTCTTCTAGTGTGGCCCTCTGAGAGCCAATGTTGTAGTARTTCCGGAACACTGTCAAAGAGGCAAGGGGACTGCTACTGTCCAGCTCTGACCTAGTCTCCTGCCTTCCTCCAGACAACCTCTCCTATATTGAACACATTTTTGAGATCTCCCGCCGTCCAGACCTACTCACTATGGTGGTTGACTACAGAACTCGTGTGCTGAAGATCTCTGAGGAGGATGAGCTGGACACCAAGCTAACCCGCATTCCCAGTGCCAAGAAATACAAAGGTAAGAGTTCATGTCTTTGGCATACCCCTTCCGTTATCCCTGGAATAAGTGCATTTGGGGAGCGTGCATGTTGGTACTCAGTGGGTTTATCTGGCACCTCCCACAGCTTTCATCCCTGGACACATCCCTTTTTGCCCCTAGACATTATTCGGCAGCCCTCTGAGGAAGAGATCATCAAACTGGCTCCCCCACCGAAGAAGGCCTGAGCAAGGGGGAGGAAGAAGAGGAAGGTTGGACCTTCATCAGATCACTCCCTTCCCCAGCCTCCAAGGGAGGGGGCAAGGGCAGCACTCCCATGCACCCACTTACTAACCTGGTCCTAACTCCCTTACTGTGCGCGTGTGTGTGCGTGTGCGCACGCTCTGGCTGTCTGTCTATATGTCTAGCTCATCTAGTTCCTCCTCCTTGTGAGGGGGTGGGGGTCAGGATGGGGGGCTTAGTTTCCCCACTCTAAGGGGGAGGTGGGGGCTATTTCTATGCAAATAGAAATTGGCACATTCCTACTTCCCTTTCTTCCACTTTTCCTGGCCACATCTTTAAAATGTGGAAGCAGAAAGGACCTGCATTTTCCTACATTGAGGAGCTGAGATGGTGAGGTATGGGAATGGTGGGTAGATCTAAGGAAAAGCAAGGAAGGAAAGGAGGGAGGACGAAGAGGCCAGTCTCCACCTGAAAGGGGCAAAGAAAAGCTAGAGTTCAGTGTTTGTATCCTGATGCTGGACTAGCTAAAAAGTTCCATTTCCTGCTGTCCTCAGGCTGGAGAGCCTAGGGACCAGCAGGTCCCTTTTTATGCTCCTCTCATGGGCAAAGATGGGGATAAGCCAGGGATCTAATGGAAGAAGACCACCGTATCCTTTCCTGGTCCCTAAGAGCAAATCCTATGGAGCAGCCAGCATTCAGTGTCCACCCCCACCCCCCACCTTTTTGCTCTGGAAAGACTAGGCTGGGAACATGCACCACTGAGCCTGAAATGGGGACATAGAGGGATGGGCCCCTTTGTCACTCCTTTATTCCTATTCAGACTGTTGCACACACTGACCCCAAACTTAGGTTGAGAAATGAGATCCTTAGGTTTTAATCTCAACCTGCCCCCGCTACAGGGTCCCAATGTGGATATTGCAGGCAACTACCCTCTCTCTACTCAGTCTAGAACACCCCAAGCCAGAAAGAAGTGTTCTCCTTTGTACTGATCCCCATGCCAATTCAGTCTTTGGAGGGGACTTGGTAACCCTTCTCACTGACACCCCGGMCCCCTTGGGCTTGTGGACGCCTCCTAGCCAAATAACTAGAGTACAGTGAGTGACCCCAGCCTCTTGCCTGTCCCAACATGCCCTTCCCCACCCTGACCGTGCTAACTGTGTGTACATATATATTCTACATATATGTATATTAAACCCGCACTGCCATGTCTGCCCTTTTTTGTGGTGTCTAGCATTAACTTATTGTCTAGGCCAGAGTGGGGGTGGCAAGGGAGTGCCACAGTGACGGGAGTGGCAGAGGCAAATTGCTACATATTCCGAACAGAAAAGCTTTTTATATTTAAAAAAAAAAAAGCAAACAAAAAAAAATTAGATTCACATGCAAACTGAGACTAGAGAAAGTTGGAAGTTAGCAGCTTTTAGGATGTGGGAGCAAAACTTCAGTGGGAGCAGCGGGCTGGCTGTTGGAAGAGGGAAGAAGCCAGACTGGTCAGAGTGCCCCTCGACTCCTAGCTGAGCCCAGTCTGTGTGTCCCCTCTGGCTACTGTTGCAGACACCTGCCTTAACATACACACCTCCAGTACTCCACGGTTTTGCCTTAAAGGATCTTCCCAACTCTCCCCAGCCCTGTCTGGCTTCTCCCTTAGGGAGAGATACTTGTAGAACTGGAATTAGGGAAATGAGYATGAACTGTCCTTTTATTTGGAATGTTATGTGAGGGAGAGGGAGAGGGAGGGAGAAAATGAGAATTAATAAAGAGCTTTCCTTATGGAATAAACAGGRAAAAAAAAAGACGGGGTTATTTCGGCAGAGTCTAGTAGTTTCTCTGTAAGGCAAAATAATCTAAAAAGACTAACTTGCCCTCCCACCCTTTGTCCTGCTGTAAGGCTGCCCCTATCTTGTGCTCCTCCATCTGCAGTGTGCACGGCCTTGTTCTAACCCTGGAATAAAGGTGACTGATTGTACTGTACTGGATTCCAGAGTTTCTGAGTGACCAGGATTTTGGAGCCTCTGTATGACTGGGAAGGGAGAGGGAGCAATATTTACCCCTACATCCTTTATTGTAGCCTAGTATAGGGACCCAGAAAACACCCCAAATAGGATCCTCCCCACCTCATCCCCATCTGCAGAGGACCACTGAGCTAATTGGGGCCTATTTCATTTAAATCGTCTCCAACTGGAGCCTGAGCARGAGAACTAGGATATTCCAGACTGGGCTTCCTAAAATCTTAACATGAACAGAGGAAGTGGGCAAGACTAAGCACCTACAATGGAAGGAACAAAAGCAGAATGAATGGGCCACATATCACACAGAGCAGCAGAGTGTGGGGGAAAGCTTTACTGAGAAAATACAACAAATTCCAGAGTGCATGGTTTTAAGTCCCACCGTATCACTCCACTAGCAATAGGGAGACAAACCACTCGAGTCACTACACATTCCCTACCTCAGGAAGAAAGTGCAATAGCTAACATCGAGTCTGAGAGCTGCTAGGAAAAGGGGCAGGAGGAAGGAATGTCTGGCACTACCATCCTCTCACTTTTTCCCCCTCTTCTTTCTTTGCCTGGTTTAGTAGAATCCAACTGTTCCAGGATGCAAAATTCCTAACTGGATCTTGTGGAAATTGGGGGCAGAAAAATAGCAGCAAAAGCAGTTAAGGGCAAGAATTCAAATAGGATTTTCATACTCAGTGACAAGTTAAGACAGGTGTCCAAACCCTAGCCACCAGAATCCTGTTTTCTTTCTTTTTCTGGGTACTTTGAATTGAACCTGGAGTGCTTTAGTACTGAGCTACATCCCAAATCTATATTTTTTTCCTTTTGAGACAGTATCTCGATAAATTACTGATGCTGGCCTTGAATTTAAAATCCTCCTGCCTCAGTCTCCTGAATCACTGGGATTATATAGGCATGCACCCTTACTGTCTTTCTTGTCCCTAAATCCCAAGATACCAAGAGGTGGACRACATTTATATAAAGTCAAACCCAAGAAATTTGCCCTTTACTATTTTCATTAGGAAGGGCTGATATGGAGCCGGATTGCTTAAAGAATCATAGCTAAGAGAATGTGTGTATCTTCTGTCACACAAGATCGGGAGAGAGTAGGCAGTGGGTGGCAGCGCCCTTTCTAATGTCACAGGTCTGTCATGTTTTAAAAATAGGCCGGCCTCTGATTTGAAGACCCATCCTGGGAGCTCCCATGAGATTTAAGGAGAGTTAGAGGATCTGAGGCAGAGTTTAGAGAAAAAGTTTTTCCAACCCCTRTATCCAGGCAGAAAAGGGCAGAACTGAGGATCCTTCCATTATTGAGCCTCCTAAAAACCTAAGAATAAGCCCCAGGCTTTAATGGTCATATATAAAGGGCACGTTAACCATGGGTGTCATTTTGACATCATTACTCTTGCTCATTCTTCCTTTAAGTCCCTTTATTGCATTCATAGAGAATATATAGGTATTTAAACTTTGACAATAATTTTAACTTGATACATCCAAGTTTGACTTGCTTTTTAATATATTTATAGATATAAAATTAGGCCTCTAACAGTGATAGGGACAGGGAGATTGCTGCCACCAAACAATTCTTAAAAAAAAAAAATTAAAAAAATAACAGAAGAGGTAATATCCTTCCTATTCTTCTTCCACCTCTGCCCCTCCTCCCACCTCTCTCCAATCTCCTTCACCAGACCTATTTAGGGGGTGATGGGATGAAGAGAAGAGAGTGAAGGATACATAATCAAGTGCAAAACACTGTGATGAGTACAGGGAATGAATGAGGTGGAAAGTGAGAAGTGTGGGATGGTTAAGGGCTCTAAGGACTTCCCAGAAAAACAGGATCCTGGGATAGATTTGCTCAGGGGGAAAACAATGGAACTGTCATAGACTTTAAAAAACAAAGAAAAAAAAGGTCAAAAACCTAAACCAAAGAGCGAGTGGCACTCCTACCCTCCACTCTGGCCCCTTGGTACTGAACAGCCAGTTGTTGCCCTCACCCCACCCCCACAAAGGAAACAAGGGAGATTAAAAGAAGCCCCATTGCCTATCCTAAACCAGTTAACAAAACAGGCTCCCCACCACCCCCAAAAAAAAGCTTCAGGGAGAGGCCATTTCTGCTGAGTCCTTTGTGCCTCTCCACAGAACCCATTCCAGGGCTCAACTCCCACTCCTAGGTGCTGTCTGCTGGTTCAATCCCCCTCTGGTCTGTCCTTCTCTTGGGATGTCTTCTAAACAAAAAGTCCAAAGTGCATTTCTGCTGAATTTAAGGGCCTGGGACAGGAAAGCAGTGCCCAGGCAGGATCGGGTTGGCAGCCCCAGCCCGCCCCTCTTAGGCATGAGGCCTCAGGATGGCATGCATTGCACCCGGTCGGGGCCCTCCTCCTCGTCCGATGTATCTGAGGAGCTGGGAGACTCGTCAGAGTCCGCGTCTGTGGCCCCAACCCCAGGTTCTCGCCAGCGCTGTGGAATGGGAAAGCCTTGTTAGTACTTTTCCTGATCAAGAACAAGACTGTAAGGTCTTAGCTAGGCCAGGGATCAGCAGTGTTTTCTTAAAGGGCCAAAGAGTAGATGTTTCAGACTTGTGGGCCACATAGTCTCTGTTGAAGCTATTCAACTCTGCCACTGTACCATGAAAGCAGTCATAGACAATATGAAGAATGGATGTGGCTGTGTTTCCAATAAAGTTTTATTTACAAAAACTGGCAGTAGGCCAACTGCCAGTTTGCTGACCCCTGCCTCTTCAAGCATGACAGTAAATACTAAAAAGTACTCTAAGACATTTCTTCTCCACTCCCACCCTCCTACCATTGCCCTTATGAAGATAGCACTCTGCATGTATGGTGACAGAAGAGCAGACACCAACCTTTCCTCTGGGGGCTCTGAAGGGAACAGGGGACCAATGGATGGGAAACCCAACCAAGATTACTTGAATCCTCCTTAATTTAGTGAGGAGGTGCACACTGGAACTTTGTAGCCCTCTTAAGAAGGTCACTGCCTTTGGGAGCTCACATCGAACCCCAGCTTACCCGGTGATGGCGTCTCTGTCTCAGGTGATGCATAAGAAACCAGAGCATGTGGCTATCAAACAGGTCAGTGTGGTGTAAGCTATCTTCATCCCGCTCTCGCTTGTTCTTCTTAATCACCTGAAAGCCAAAAGGGTTGGGGTTGGGGACAGTAATGAAATAGGGTCCCTGGACCTAATCAAGAAGGTTGGTGTTCCATCCCAATAAAAGCTTCCTTGGGTGCTGTTACACTGAAGTGGAGCCAGATTCAATTAGGAAAGGATATCCTGGGTTCAGCCACTGAGAAGGTGGGAGGCTTTAATACAGAATAATAGTTCCTAAAGATGCTCCCTACCCCATCCTACTATCAACAAGAGGCACTCATAGCTGTTCCCTGGAACAGGACTGCTCCTCCAGAGAGAAGAACAGGAATGTTTGGGGAGAGCATAAGAGTAATGTCCTTAAAGAACTGGGCAGCAAGTCATTCCTTCCTATGGCAATGAAGAATCCTAACAGCATGTGAATAAGTAGAAAGAAAAGTTCTGCAGCCAGCCACTTACATCCTTTAACCCGGTCAGCTCAGTAGAAGCTTCAGCTGTGGGTGCCCAGATCTTCACATCATGGTCTAGGCCACTGGTTGCCAACACTGGCAGATGAGGGTGGGGCTCAAGACAGTTGACCTGGTCAGGAGAAAAGGAAAACACAGGCTAAGTGGTATGTGGGAGCAGGGTTTAAAATCCACTACTCACCTTGAGCTTGATTAGGGCTGAAGCAGCTGCTAGAAAGGCAGACCCACCCATCTTGAGCTTAGGCCAAAGGGCCCCAAGGGTGGAGGAGACACTGGACAAACTGAGTTCAAGACCAGGCCCCTCTAACATTTCCTTTGCATTAGTCAGTGGTGGGCTTCATTCCTGGACACAGCCCTAGGATTGGGTGAGTGAGTGGCCATGTTTACTGTTGGCTTCACAAGAAGGCTACGAGGTCTGGATGACCTCATTCACTCTACATCCTAAAAGTTCCAATTTGCTTGAGGCTCAAAAAAGAATAACTCAGTGGCTTTCATGAAGTTGCAAATAAATTTTTAAAAATGAAGAAAGCAGTAGCTGCCAGTGAGCCCCCAGAGAAAAGTGAGAAAACAATTATATTCACTTGGCACTGTTTACTAACTGGTGGAAGGCAGAGGCTGGGGAAGAGGAAGCTGAGCTGGAGGGGAATGATGGAGGCTGGTGTCTGCTTTCAAATCCTATATATCCCAGGGGACAGCATCCTGCTATCTGCCCTAAGAACACAATAAACTCAGCTATAGGGCAGCACAATATATATATAAGGCAGCTCCCTGGAGCACCCACTGCATCAATTTTAGCTACCCTCTGTATTTTTCACTGATAAGTCTTTAGACTCGGGCAATTTCCTTCTGTCTGAAAGCACCTATGCCCCCTGCTGTCTGATTTGGAAACTTGAGTTTTCCTAATAGGGCAGGGCAGGGTAGGGCAGGGCAGGGTAGGGCAGGGCAGGGCAGGGCAGGGCAGGGCAGGGCAGGGCAGGGCAGGGCAGTTCCCATCCCCACAGGAAGAGCTAGTTACAGATCTAGCTTGCTAAAGCATTTTCAGGCTTTTAGTCAGATGAGAAATAGATAAGACACCCTGCCTTGCAGTTGCCCTGAAGTCTAAGAAAATAATAACCCCTGGAAAAAGCTTCTTTTATGGTTCTCTCTGGACCAATCTCCCATGCCTTACCTACAGTCAGAGAGCAACTAAGGAGAAGCTAGGGGCAAGCACAGAGAATAAAGCTGAACAGCAGATTCCCAACCTTCACTGACTTCCATTTTATAGATAAACAAACGCTCAGAGAATACAATCTAAATCTGAGCCTAAGATTGTGACTGCAGTTAATATCTGGCTCTTTCAGGCAGCAGATATGGAGCACTATGGAGGCACTAGAAATAAACTCCATGGCCTGAAAATATTATCAAAAGGTATGTGTCAACTTACACATACAAACCTGAATTCATTCATCCAGCTCCTGATAAACCTTTGCTATAGACCTATATATACTCTGAGATAGCTGGGCTTCAACAAGTCAACAAAAATTATAAAGCTAAGGAAAGCTCAGGGGAGTCTTAATATTTAAGACTAGGATAAAGCCAATGGCAAGAGAGGAACAAGAGAATAAATTACATACAGTACCTGAGGTGAAGCCTGTAGGGAAGCCAATAGAGAACTTCTGGACCAAGGACCTGGTCAATTCACCAGACCTGTCTGAATGCCAGAACTTACCTCTCATTAATTCTTGAGCAGAGAAAAGAGCTCTGGCCTTAGATGACTGGGCTGGGGGCATGTAGGAAATGGAATAAAGCATCAAAGTGCTCTCGGGAGAGTAAGGAGTTGTCCTTTGAAATTCCCCACCCTTGTCCCTGTGAAGTTGAATGGGAACAAAGAAAGGAACCCAAAATAAGAGTTAGGAGACCTAGGAAAGGTGGATGATGACTTCTCAAATTGCTCCAGTTCTAAGATTCTACTTTGTGATATAGAATTGTTTCACAATCTCCACTGAGGCTGGAGTCTGGTAACCTCCATTGCTGGAAGGTTAGGACAAAAAAAAAAAAAAAAAAAAAAGAGAGCCAAGGGAGGACCACAGATCATGCAGCTTATACAGAGGCAAGAACAAGTAAGGAAGCTCACTTCAGTGGGCAGTCTCTATTTCTTGTTCTATCTAGTCTCTCACTCTTAAAACCACTAGAACTCAGGCCATCTCAAGTAGATGCTCTCCCCACCTGAGTACCTGGATTAATCATCCAACCCTGGTACTGGCTAAACTAAAAGCAAACCGGCCTGCAGAGTGCTTTGGAGAACAAATAAGTGCTGGTCTGGGAGAAGGGCATTCATCCCTTCATCTCTCTGGAATAGAATGCAAGACAATAGTTGATTATCAAGAAAGGATTCACTGGCTCAAGTTTGAGATCAACCATGGCAACTTAGATTCTGTCTCAAGACAAAATAAAAAAGGCTGGGGATGTAGCTCAGTGGTAAGGTGCTCCTGGGTTCAATCCTAGTACCAAAAAGAGGGGTAGAGGTGGGGGAAGGATTCAAGGGTCCCTTTTGATTTTCTTCTGACTACATGCCCATTGCATAATTTCTCATTAAGACTTCAGTGTGCCAGGTGCTGTGGCATATGCTTATAATCCAAGCAACTTGGGAAGCTGAGGCATGAGGATCACAAGTTCGAGGCCAACCTTAGCAACTAAGCAAGATCCTTAGCAATGTAAAGAGACCCTGTCTTGAAATAAAAACTAAAAGGAATGAAAGAACTGAGATGTGGCTCAGTAATACCGCACCATTGGGTTCAATTCCCAATACCAAAGGGGAAAAAAAAAAAAGACTCTAGTGTTTTGGATTTGTTAACTACAGATGATAGAAGGGGACCTATGGAAGAGTAGGAAATGAAGCAGGGAAGAAAGGGACACACCTTGTACTTCTAGACTTCTCTTGCATTCAGGTTATAGAAGTCCTGTTTTATATTGGTCCCAGGTCTCAAAAATTTAGAGGAAAATCTGAAATATTCTCAGAGCAAGGTAAGAAAAACACAAGAAGGAATGGGATCCTGATTGCAAGGAACCATTCTAAATTATAAAACCATTCTCTGGTAAACCTCATAAAGTCATGGCTAGGCTCTTTGAAGTTTCCCACAGCTTAGAAAGAATGAAAAGGAAGAAAGTCCAAGCAGTCAGTCTCAATCATTATTTAGAGGCCACAGGTAATCAKACTATCTTGGGTAATTAGTACAACCTAGCCTTTCAAACTGTCTCTTTCCTATCTTCTGTGGTCTAAAAACCTTATAATAGGAAGTTCTAAACTTTTTTCCTAATTCTGGGTCTTAAAAAAAGAAAAAGTGACATGGTTAACTAGATATATCTTAAAAGGTAACCACTCTCCACTCCTTAACTTGATCCTCACTGTCTTTTTGCCTTATCTCCACAGAGGTTGCCTGCAAAACTCAAAAGACAGGCAGACTAGACTGTAACATAATCAAGGATTATATAGCAGGCTGCTCATCCACTCTTTTTGAGAAAAAAACATTTTGCCACATTTGCTTTCTCCCTATACATGTACACATCCATTTGAAAGTAGGCGTGACATTTCAACCTTAAATATTTCAACATGTGTCAATTAAGTGTAAAGATATTTTTCTACATAAATATTGCCAGATGATATAAATCTAATGTTGGATACCATGTTACTTAATATATAAACCATATACTTATTTTCCCAACTATTCAAAAAAATGTTCCTTTGCATTTTTATCTGATCTAGAACAGGGGATGAAACCTGGAGGCATCTTTAACAGTGTATAGGTGGGGTGATGTGCCCTGAACTCTAATGGTCACTCTTCTGGAAAAGGTCCATGCTTAAGCTGGTTGGTACACACCTGAAATTGGAGCCACTTGGGAAATGAGAGACAGTAGGATTGCAAGTCCTTGGCAAGCCTCAACAACTTAGCAAGGCCTTATCTCAAAAACAAAGCTGGGCAAGGTGGTACACACCTATAATCCAAGAGAGGCTGAGACAGGAGGATYTCAAGTTTGAGGCCAGTTTGAGCAACTTAGTGAGATCCTGTCTCATAAACAAGGGCTGGGGATGTGGCCCAGTGGTAAAGTGCCCCTGGGTTAAAACCCCAGCACCAAAAATAAATAARTAAGTAAGTAAATAAATAAATAGGGTAGAGAGGTGACTCAGTTGTAAAGTGGTGCTGGGGACTGAACCCAGCAATCAAATAAACAAAACTGAAACCAAAACCAAACAAAAACAAACACAACACAATACCTCTCAGCATCCTCAGACTATGCTGCCTTTTAATTAAATGTAGTTGGCTGGACCTCTAAGACATGATATTAGGTAGCCACAGTGAAAATTCGGAGTCCCTACTAAAACCTACCTTATTGATCTGAAATACTATGGAGCCAGTCGGCTCAGCATACCATACTTACCACACCTCCCTTGTCCCCCTCCATGAACTGAATGATCTGGCAGGATGATTTTTCCCAGAGGAAGATGTGCCCGCAGTCACTACCGCTCACCACAAATTCACTCTTGGGGCCATAGAAATTGACGCCTTTTACTGAAATAAATGAGGGAACAAACCACATGAGGATTGGCATCAGGCCTATATATATTTCTCACAGGGAAAAATAACTAAATATTCACAAACTCCAAATTAGCTGCAAGCCAAATAATTCCTTTCATCTTTACAAATCAAACCAAAAGATTATGCATGTATAACAGATAATTATAAGAATCACACCAGTCCCAGAGACTACTTATATTCTCTCAATGAGCTCTACAGGGCAGAGGAGTCTCCAGTTGCCTAGCAATAGCCTGCCTCATTTATACCCTATCAGGTCTCACTAATGACCTTACCCGTCTGAACCTACATGTGCTAACTCTGCCTACTGCCAGGCAGCATTCACCAATGTTCTAGGATTATCCTTACTATATATTTCATTGGTAATTTGTCAGTGCTTCTTGGGTCCGCCTGGCTGATCTGAGACTGATGAAAGTATATGCCACAATCACCTAACTCATATGAATTATGCTTTCTACCAGGACTCTGAATAACAGGGCTCCACTCTCTAAAATTAGCAAAAGCAGCCAGGAGTCCCAACTACTAAAGCCATCCATACTGGCCATAACGCTGTTACTCTTCCGGTGGGCTGAGATCCAAGTACAGATTTTTCCTTCCCTTCTCATCAGCTCAAAGAAAAAGTAAATGTAACTCCTGCCGCCAAGTCAAATTATGACAGGACTGTTAGGAGTGGTAACAACAAAAGTCAGTGATTCCCCAACTTTTCTGAACATTAGAACGGAAACTTTACAAAAGTACCAGCACTCAAGTTGCACCCTACACCAATGAAATCACTTGACTATCAGGTGACTCTAATTTGCTCCAAAGTATGGAAACCATAGACACTGAATAAAAAAAGGTCAATCTTCACTGCAAATTTAAACTAGGTACTATCACAACTCCTCATTCAAAAAAAAGAAAAAAGAAAAAAAAATTTCCTCTTCCCTCCCTAGTGGTACAAGCTTATGACCCATTTTAAGTAATTCAGCATCACTGACTAAAGCAGATTTTCCCTGACTCCTTAACAAGCTCTTGTACCCATTTGGAATTTGCCTAAAAATTTACCTAAAATACAGAGAAAAATGAAAAAAAAAAATAGTAAAGTCTTATGTTCAAACCAATTAGAAGCAACATTACTGCAGTGAAGATGCTCTCAAGCAAAATGGAGAAAACATGAAAATGCCAGCCCAATGGGATCAACTCTCACTGCAAGGAACCAGAAGCCTATCCCTTAGGTAACTTCATATGTACAAGCTGAATAAAATACTACGGTTCTCCAAGCCAATAGGATTTGGCCACAGAAACCTAGAAAAACAGTCTCACCTGTGGCATTATTTCTGTGGCCCTTATATCTCTTAACATACTGGGCCCCATCACTGTGAGAGGAGTTGAAGAGGTAAATGTCTTCATCATTATAACTGGCCAGGAGCTCTGCCAAGAACAAGAACACAGCAGTGAAGGCAAAAGCTGAAAAATGCAGGAATCAGGAGTTGGGGGTTGGGATGGGGCTTCTTGCCAGTAATGCCCCCTCCTAATACCCAGGTGTAACACCCATCTTACTCAGTTGGAACAGCAGGCAAGTGAAGTTGTAAGGGCAGACTAGGAACACACTGCCAACCCAGGGGTAGCAGAGGAAGATCTCAGGAAGATCACATCCATTCACTCAGGATGAGACAAAGGCATAAGAACCTGCTCAGGCCAAGTAGCCTGGGCTTCAGGACAGGCCCTGCCAAATATCATCTGCAGTATTCTGCAAATGGTGCCTGGCATCTCCAAGGGTCACTGCTGCATCCTCCCACTATGTGCTCACCATCAGCAACTACTCCCCAGATGCTCCACTTGGAGCTATAGCACAGTGGTGAGCACTGGAGGGCACGTGCCTCACTGGCTCAGCAGCTCTCTAGACAGAGGAGGCATGCCAGCCTAGGAGCTGGGCCCTGCTCACGTACCTGTGCCGTCGTGGCTGTACACAAGACAGGTGATGTTTGCTTTGGACTCACTGTTCACCTGCAATAAGGAGCAGATACTGACTGATGCCCCACCCCCCCATTTGGCATACCATCTTCAGGAACAGGTTTTCCTTCAAACTCCCCTATATCTTCTCCCAGAGAATGAGAGAAAAACAGAGAGACAGATAGGAGTACAACTAATGAAACATGACCACCTCAAAGGCGAAAGTCTTAGGGCCTTGTCTTCTCTCTGCTAGCCATTTATTTCATATACATGGTTTCATTAGGCCTCACCATGATGGTCCAAGGCTGTTACTGTTCTCTCTACTTTCTTGATGAGAAAATAGGCTAATAGGTGAACTGACTGCCCAAGATCACAAAGCTGGTAAGTTGGGAAGCCAAGATTCAAATCCAGGTGCATGACTTGAAAATGCAAGCTCTGCTTTTCCCACTATACCAACAAGTTCAAAGGCCGACTTGGGATCAAGTCAGGGAAGCCAGGAGTCACTGGCCCTTCATGAATCTTACCAGGTGATGAGGACAGAATTTCTTGAGTACACCATTGTTCTCATTCTCATCAATTTTCCTCTGGTCATAAATCCTGTAATGGAAGAAGCAATAGAAATGTCAAAACTTACAAGATGATCCCTCAAAGAGCTGCAATTAGTGGCAGAAAGCAAATGGATGAAGATAAAGGATATTTTCCCCACCAAACTTCCAGTTCATGCTCTTTTATAAAGATCCTCCATTCCTCAATCCATTTTCAAACCCTAACTCATTCATGATGGTATTTTCCTCAATTCTACCAGTTTCAACTTTTATATCACTTCCGGCTTATTCCACTGAAACAACTAACATCACAGAGCTTTTAAAATGTATATTACCTATCCCAAAGAGTTTATTACTCCTGGACAGAGATCATGCCATTTGTAAGTGAATAGGTCTCTGATTCTTTTTTATTTGGCCAGTTCTCCCTCTCATACCCCACAACAACTATTAGAAAACAACAATTTTCCTCAAGACCTTCTCTCCTTCCTTTATTTTCATCAAGCAAACTACCTTTATCATTCCTACTCTCTCCAATTCAAGCTTCATAAATATTTATGGCACACGTTTCAAGTATTGTGCTAAGTGTGAAAATGCGTTGAGGAAAAAAAAGGCAGATCCCGTTTTTATCCTGATTCAGCAGTCTTCTCTAATCTCCAAAGATGCTCTTAATCTCATCATCCCCAGGGAACTCGTTTGACTAATTAGTTCCATTTCTTTCATCACTGTCAAACATTTCTACTGTTGCTTTCTCTCTCTTTCCTTCTGCAATTTACTCAAAAGAACAATATAAATTCAATGTTTTCACTTCCTTACTTTTTGTTCACTTCTCAACCCATTCCAATATGGCTTTTACCCTCAATTTACCACTAAACTTCTTACGATGAAATCTTTAGTAACCTAACTGCCAAAGCTAAGAAGATACTTTTCAAAGCTTTTTCTCTTGGTCTGACATTGTTCATTACTGCTTCCTTGAAACATCATCCTTCCTTGATAGCCAATCATTCCTCAGTACTGTCCATGAGTTTGTCTTTGTTTAATCCCTTAAATGCTGATGTTCCCCCGGGGCTTGGTGTTAAATTCTCATCTGACTTTATACCAGGGAATTTTAACCTGGAGTCCAAAGAATATGTAAACCTCCAGAAACTGCTTATGCGTATTTTTCTTTACTGATGCTTTAAGCACTACTTCCTAAAGATGGATAAATGCCTTAAATCCGTGTTTCCAAATCATACTTAATATGAGCTCCAGACATACATCTACTTAACAAATGGAAGTTATAATAGGTTCCCCAAAAGTAAACTCATTCTAAACCTATCCCTTTCCCCTGAATCTTTGAAAATGGAACTATCATAAATGGGAGTGATCAAGCAAGAAATCAGGTACCTTCTCTCCTATATAGCAATTCCTGTCTTGTCAATTTTACTCCCTGGGTATATTTTTAGACAATATTTGCTTTCTTCACCACTTATCATATTTTGCCTAGATAATAGCATTATCCTTCTAATTTCCCTGCTTGAACTGTCATCAGAAGTATGTGTAAAACGCAAAATTTTATGTAAATTCCCTGATTGTATCTCCTCAGTGATTTTGTACAACCAACTGAATAAAGTTCAAACTCCTGAGTATGGGTGCCTACCTCTGCTTCAATATTCTAAACAATAGCCACATAACTATTTGGGAGGCTGAGACAGGAGGATAGGAAGTTTGAAGCTAGCCTGGGCAACTTAAAGAGGTCCTGTCTCAAAGTATTAAAATGAAAAGGGCTCTGGATGAAGCTCAGTGGTAGAGGGGTTGCCTAGCATGTGCAAGGGCCTGGACTCAACTCCAAGTACCACAAAAAAAAAAAAAAAAAAAAGCGGGGGTGGGGGGTGGGCAGTGGAGGAGGGAGGGAGAGAAATGGAAGGAGAAAGAATTACCCAGGAAATGCTTGATAAATGAACAATAACAAAGCCAGGTGGGTGGCAGGGGGATGGTTACACTATCAATTACAACTCTTTCAGCAGATTTATCAGCTGTTAATCAAATTTGTTTTTCTCTTAACTAAGTTTAAATCAACAGCTCTCAAATATCACTAAGCCATTATAAGATTCAACAAGTCAGCAAATTAATAAAAAAAATTGAAATACTCAAGCTTCATGGGATGCCTTTTGATAATATGGTAGAATTCTGTGTTCCTCAGTATGTAATGCTTTTTGGCCTTCTACTTTATAGGAATTTTCTTCCCTTTCTCCATTTATTAAGAACCTACTATATCTTATATATGATGATGATAGACAAGGRTTGGCAAACTTTTGTTTTGTGTTTTCTTGTACTGGGAATTGAACCCAGGGGCATTTTACCACCACTGAACTACATCCCCAGGGCCTTTATTTTTTATTTTGAGACAGGGTCTTCCTAAATTGCTGAGGCTGGCCTTGAACTTGAAATTCTCCTGTCTTAGCTCCCCCAAGTCACTGGGATTACAGGTATACACCACTGCACCTGATGGTAATTTTTTTTTTTWAAGAGCAAGAAAGTAAAAAGTGGTATTAGAGATTGAAACCAAGGGAACTTTACACTGACCTATATCCTCAGCCATTTGTATTTTGAGACACAGTTTTCCTAAATTGCTGAGATTGGCCTTGAACTTGTGATTCTCCTGCCTTAGCCTCCTGAGTTGCTGGGCTTATAAGTGTGTGCCAATTTGCCCAGCTGTCCAGGATTCTTGAACAAGGTAAAGTCATCTCTCATGTGTTTTTAAAATATTATCCCCATGATTTCTTATTAATACAATTTATTTCAAAATACATTTACAAAATGTGGTCTGATTTCAAAAGGAAGATGATGCTTTTTAACTACCATAAAGCAAGTAGTCATTCCTGTAATCCCAGTGGTTTGGGAGGCTGAGGCTCTAAGAAACTTGGTGAGACCCTGTCTCAAAATAAAATATAAAAAGGGCTAGGAATGTTGCTCAGTGGTTAAGCGCAAGTTCAATCCCTGGTACAAATTAAAAAAAAAAAAAAAAAGATGAAGAAGAAAGCAAAGTCATTCATTTTTCTAGTGATACTGCTTCTTCTCTTTTTCAAATTGACAATCTCAAATAAATATAGTTAAAATAAAAACTGGAGAGGGATGGGTACAGTTTCCTACTAAAGGTCAGAAGGAAACTAACAGGAGGTTGAACCCATGATGCCTGCTTTCCTTAGAATATTGCCTCAGTAGTCAGGGTTTCAACAAATGCTCATAGGAACAAAGATTATCACTACAGATAAAGAAAATGGCTCAGAATAGTAGGAGCCAAAACCCCTCAGTTCACACCTAGGGTTTTCAAGTCAAATTATTCTAAATCCCAAATCAATATACAAAACTGCAAGTGCAATGGCAATTTATTTATGAAAATGGTAGAAGTAGGGCACAGTGGCTCTTGCCTATAATCCCAGCAACTTGGAAGGCTGAGGTGGGAGATTGCCAAGTATGAGGGCCTCAGAAACCTGTCTCAGTTCAAAACCAGTCTCAGCTACTCACCAAGACTTTTTTGTCAGGATAAAATATAAAAAGGGCTGGGGATATAGCTCAGTGGTTCAATTCCTAGTACGGAGTGGGGGGTGGGTGGGATACAAAGGACCATGTAATACATGAACAGATGTTCAACATCATTAGCAATTATACAAATTCAAATCAAAACTACACTGAGATTTTTTCTCACACCAGTCAGAATGGCTGTCACCAAGAATACAAATAATAAGTGTTGGGGAGGAGGTGGAAAAAAAGGAACACTTTTGTACTGTTGGAGGAACTGCAAATTAATACAACCATGATTGAAATCAATATGGAGGTTCCTCAAAAAATTAATCATGGAACTACCATATGACCCAGTTAAACCACTCCTCGGTATTTATCTTAAAAATTAAAGTCATCATTCTAAAGYGACGCATGCATACCCAGGTTTAGTAGCACATTTCATAACAGTCAAACTATGGAACCAGCCTAGGTCTCTATCAACTAATGAATGGTTTATATACACAATGGAGTTTTATTCAGCCATAAAGAAAAATGAAATTATATCATTTGCAGGAGAATAGATGGAATAGACACCATTATGTTGAGCAAAATAAATCAAACTTAGAAGGTCAAGGGTTGTATGTTTTCTCTCATATGCAGAAACCAGAGAGGATGAAGAAAAAAAGAAAGATGGTGGTGGATCTCATGATAATGAGAGGGACATCAGTAAAGGAAAGGGATGAGAAGCAGAGAGGGAAGAGATAAGTGTTGGGGAGTGATATTGGCCAAATTATATGGTTATATTATGCACATGCACAAATATGCAACAACAAATCCAATCATTATGCACACTTATAATGCACCAATAAAAAATGTGGAAAAACTTAAAACAATAACAACAAAAGACTGTCTCAAAAAAAAAAAAAAAAAGGCTAGAGATGAAGTTCAGTGGTAAAGTACTCCTGGGTTCAATCCCCAGTACCAAAAAAGGAAAAAGAAAATGGTAGAAAATTCACTAAAATAGCACCTGCTGGAAATTAGGTCTTAGCTACTACTGAAGAACTTGATCAATTAATCAGGTTTCTTTAAAACATGCAAAGTCATCTATATAACAGGAAAAGCCATCTCTCAGAGACTGTTTACATTAAGGAACAGAACAGCTCAGAAGGTGCTTAAGCATTCTGGAAGAGGATAAAAATTAAAAATGGTGGTAAATGAACTTCTAGGCATTTCACACTTCACCCTTCTGAATACATGGCAATAGATTCACAAATTTGACACACAAAGAATGGTCTCTCCTTTTATTTTTAAAAACCTGCAATAAATCCTAGAGATTTTCTTTTTTTTAAAGACAATGTGCCAGAGTCTCAAACTCTCAAAAACACAGAAAAGCAATAGACTCACCTTACAAATTGATCTCGTCCACCTACTGCAAACTGGTGGGTATTGGCAGGATTCACATAGATTGTATACAGCCCCACTTTCTTCTCTTTCTCTTTTGTCACCACCAGTTTCCTGTAAGAGTAGAAAAATACACAACATTTTAGTCTCCATAAGAACTAGATGGTCATGACAAATGAGAGCCAAGATGGCAATATAGGCATGGCTAATAAGAAAACGAAAATATTCTCATCTGGAAAGAAAAATTATTTTTGTTTGTCTTAGACAATGAAAAATGAAAAAGCAAAAATATTCACTACATGCTACTCTGAAGATGGGAAAAATATTCAGTAAATTTTTTTCTTGTGTTGCTTAAGAAATGTAAGTTAAAGGTATATGCTCTTCAGGAAGTCCAACACAATAACAACCAGTCATTAAAGGATGTTACCCATACAGTTCCCTCCTCTATTTGTAAATACTGTATATCTTCCCAATCACCTGGAGAGGARTGGAGAAAAATTTACAGAACCACTGGGTTAAAAAATAACTTTAGGTCAGAGTGTATCTCCCAGATTCTGGAAAAACGCCACTTAAAACGTAGCTTTAAAGCCAAGCACGGTGGTGCACACATGTAATCTCAGCTGCTGGGAAGGCTTAGGCAGGAGGATCTTGAGTTCAAAGCCAGCCTCAGCAGAAGTTAAGACCCTGTCTCTAAATAAAATACAAGATAGGGCTGGGGATGTGGCTCAATGATCAAGTGCCCCTGAATTCAATTCCTGGTACCTGCCCCTCCCACCCCCAAAAAAACCCCTAGCTTTTAAAAATATATACTAAGGGGCTGGGTTGTGGCTCAGTGGTAGAGAGCTTGACTAGCATGTGTGAGGCACTGGGTTTGAATAAAATAAAGGTCCATCAACATCTAAACACACACACACACACACACACACACACACACACACACACACACACACCTGGGTACAATGGCACATGCCTGTAATCCCAAATACTTGGGAGGCTGAGGCAGAAGGATGGCAAGTCCAAGGCCAATCAGGGCTTAGCAAGACACTGTCTCAAAATAAAAATCAAAAAGCTGGGAATGTAGAACTCAGTGGCAGGAATACTCATGTGTGAAGCCCTGGGTTCAATCCTCAGCATTAAAAAAACAAAACAACAACAACAAAAAAACCCACATACTTAAAAAAAGCTATAGTTTTCTAACCTAGAGGTATGCCAAAAGAAAGCAGAAGAGAACATTCTTATGAAGATAGCTCTTTGTAAGGCTGAGAAAACACTTTCAAATTATCCTGGTTGTAACACAAGACAGGTAAGTGATAGGAGGGCAAAGAGCCTCGGGGAAACCACAGAAAGTTCAGAAGCTTATTGAGGAGAATCTGGCTTAACAACTACAATTTATCCCAGCCTAAAGGTGGCAATATGAATACTCTTCTCATATCTAAGTGTCCAGTCAAATCTGACACCATGGAGATTAATAAATTTACAAGTAAGACATCAAGAAACTATAGAAAGGGGCTTAGCTTTAGCTTTTGTTTTTTTATTTTAAGGTYTAATTCATTTTGATGCTATGGAAACAGGAAAAAATATAACCATGACAATGAGTTTCTTTATAAAGAAACAATTTTAGCATCCTCTCTTCATAGTCAAAGTCAGTTCAGCTCTAGGCAAAGTAGAGAGATTGTGATTTTAAAATCTCTGTAGTTTTCCATTAAAAGAAAGTATACAAAAAAATTATATACAAAAAAATCCCCCATGCCAACTTCACACACACAAAAAATGCATGATATAAGCAAGTGTTTGGGTACTAGCTGAACACATGAAAACAGCTTGAATTTTTTGACTGAGACCTTCACAATTCAGCCTTCCACCTCATTCCAGCCTGTAAAACTATTTCTTTAACTCCTAAAGCAAAAACGTTTAAAACACTCTTATGCCTCCAATCTAGAATCTGGGCCTCCTTCTAATCCAGTTTCTCCAATGTACCAGGACGTAGCATGCGCCTGTAATCCCAGTGACTCAGGAGGCTAAGGCAGGAGGACTGCAAATTTGAAACCAGCCTCAGAAACTTAGTGAGACCCTCAGCAATTCAGTAATTCCCCATCTCAAAAAATAAAAAAAAGGAGCTGGGGTTGTGGCTCAGTGGTAGAGTGCTCGTCTAGCATGCATGAGGCAGCACCTCATAAATGTAAAATGAAGATATTGTGTCCACCTAAAACTTAAGAATAAATATTAAAAAAAATTAAAATAAAACAAAAAAGGACTGGAGATGTAGCTCAGTGGTAAGATAACCCTGAGTTTAATCCCTAGGACCAAGGAGGGGGGGAAAAAAGTTTTTCCAATTTTCCCTCTTTACTTTCCATGCTGCCTACCATTGTTTGTGCTCTCAGCCAGATTTTCTGCCTATATCATTTTATTTCAAATTCAATAATCTGCCAAATTCATTTACACTAGCCATTATTTTAACCATTCCTGTGGCTGAATAGTAGTTTCCCTCTGAACCTGATCTACAGGATAAAATATCAATATTCTTCAAAAAAAAAAAAAATACAGTAGATCAAATAAATTTATTATCATTTTTTTTGTATCTGTACCCTTACCTTCTCCTGTGGAAAACCTGCTACTGTCTCGTTGTCATCAAAAAATGACAACCTTAGAACTGGCAACAACAAATATTCAAGAGATTAAATGTTCTTCTCAAAGTTAGATAACTACAAAACTACTACAGATGCTCCTGAATTTACAGTGGAGTTATAGCCTAAAAAATCCACCATAAATTGAAAATGCATTTAACAAAATAACATACTCTTTGATCCGTCTATCACTTCTACTTATAGGAATGTCCCTTCTGCTATTCATAAAGTGCATAAAGGAGTATGTTACACAGGTATTTACTGCAGCATTATTTGTAATAGAATAAGATGGAAAATTATTTACATACCTAACCACTAGCCATACCATCAAATATTAAGAAACCAATAAAAAGACAGTTTTAGATGTATGAATAGGGATTGGCTTACAAGTTATATGATTAAGTATAAAAAGGGTGCTGTAGGGGCTGGGGATGTGGCTCAAGTGGTAACACGCTCACCTGGCATGCGCGGGGCGCTGGGTTTGATCCTCAGTACCACATAAAAATAAAATAAAGATGTTGTGTCCACCAAAAACTAAAAATAAATATTTAAAAAATTCTCTCTCTCTCTTTATAAAGGGTGCTGTAGAAGAATATGCTTAATTTTTTACCAAATGCGTAAAAATGGATATTTATGTGTGTGTGTGTGTATATATATGTATATATACATGCATATCTATTTGGGTCTGTATATCTATATATTCAAATGTATTCAAATACATTATTTGTTGAAGGGAAAAAAAGGAAAAGATCAAAATTTCAAGTTTTAAAGTGTAGTTTCTACTGAATCTATATCATTTTCACACCATCATAACATTGAAAAATCATTAAGTCAAACCATCATAAGTTGGGAATCATCTGTACTAGAGGGCAAAGCCCTCGACATTGAGGCTTACTCCCTTCCACTCTGTGTATTTTTTTTTTTGCGGGGGGGGGGGGTGTCGGATACTGGAGATTAAACCCAGGGTACTTTACCACTGAGCTACACCCCCAGCACTTTTTGTTTATTTTGAGACAGGGTCTCACTAAATTGATGAGATTGGCCTTGTGCCTCAGCCTCCTGAGTCACTGGGATTACAGGCCTGTGCCACCACACAGCTCCCCTTTCACTATATACCCAGCACCATTTCCCAAACTTCGTCTTCTTAAGGGTATATGAATAACCAGCATATCCTTTTCCTAAGCCTGAAACATTTCCGTCATTTAAGCAGCTGTTGAAATTCTATATTCCAGACAACTTTTTCAAGATATCTCTTTAAAAATAAAAGCAYTGACATCCCTTTCCTAATACTGGTACTGAACTATGAAATTTGTTATAATTTTTAAATCTAAAAAGACAATAAATAATCTAGGTATCAATCAAAAAGGCAGTGATGAAGTAAACAGTGGTGTACCAATGTTATGACACATATGCCATGTTTAAAAATTAGGTAGGCTGAAGTATAGAGATTCCTCAAAAATCTAGGAATGGAACCACCATATGACCCAGCTATCCCACTCCTTGGTATTTTTCCAAAAGATCTAAAATTAGCACACTATAKCAATATAGCCACCTCAATGTATATAGCAGTACAATTCACAATTGTTAAATTATAGAATCAACCCAGATGCCTGTCAAAAGATGAATGGATTAAGAAATTGTGGTGTATATATGTATGTGTAAATGTGTGTGTGT